CAAAAAAATCCATTATTCCAAATTCCTAATCCTATGTTAGTCAAAAAGAAAATCATTGTCTTACCTTATTTCGTTTGTTATTTTTCGGTTTTATACTTTGGTTTTTAGAAAGATTGTCATGCCCTGAGAGTGTGATGTTTTTCGCACGATATTTTTCTTCATTTTAAAATGTCATCTATTTTAACGTTTTAAAGTCTCCGTGCTAAGAAATAGCTAATCTATGGTCAACTTTCACTTGCTTTAAATACACGAAAGACAATTTCAACTATGATGTTCGTATTTTGTTGGATTAAAATTAAGTCCTAACTAAATATACAAACATCTAAAATTAAATGGTCATGAATTTGGTAAAGGGAAACGGTACGTTCTTAGGACGTTCCGATTACGTGCGCATTTCATGCATGCAGTGGTAGTGCGACGGTGCCTTATTTGCAAAGAACATTTTGTCGGCTGTTGATATTGCACTAAGTTGCATCTGTAGCCTATGATGTTTGACAAGGCTTATTCGTATTTCAAGGACTCTGATTAAAAGAAAAAATGAACAAGTTAAAGTTACGGACAGGGCCGGTGCAGTAGTTCGACAATGCCATATTATCTACAAAGACCATTTTTCGGAGGCTGATATTGCACTAAGTTACAATTCTATCCTATTGGCATTATTGATTCGGGCAGTATTTAAGGACTAGGCTTTAAAAGAAATATGTGTCAATAGCAAGGCAAGGGATACGCCTGATACAGCTCTGCGCTCAATTAAGGCAACATTTGATGCAAATTTCTACCGAAAATGCTCTTAAAAAGAATGGCGTCAGATCATGGATGGCCAGTATATTTTCAATGTTCACCTGACGTTTCAGTGAGAGAAAGGACAACCCAACATCCCTACCAATCGAGGACAATCAGAACATTTTAATATCATAGAAAAGCTGATCTGGCATATTAATCAGAAACCAGCTAATAGAAGCCCGCGAAACTCATTACGACAGACACATTATTAACATTATTAAACACATAATGTAGATATTTTTTGTCAAAGCTTGTTATATTTTTGTCATGGAAGATTTTTTTTGTGAAAGATCTATTTTTAAATGAAGTACAAAAAAGAGAAAAAAAACCTAAAGAATTGTTTCCAGAATAGCATATGTTTCTATGGCAACCAGAAAAATATTGGCAGTAAACAGGAAAGGAAAAATAGGAGGGTGGTATCAAGTTTTGTTTTTATTTTCCTTAGATTTTCTGTTATTGACAGTCAAAATTATACTGTACGTTTCAGTTGAAACTGAACTAATTACAGTCACAGGGGCCCGATGGAAACTTTACGTATTACTAACGATCATAGGTGCTGGACCGAATCATGTATTTATATCACAAGCTGCAGTCACAGGGACTCGATACAAACTTTACACATCATCAACGACGTAAATTACTGGATGAATTTTGTATTCATATCACACACTGCAATCACGAGGAATTTAAAATATCATTAACTATCATAGAAAGAAATTGTGAAATTTCATTCATTCTGATGTAAAAAGAAGTAATTTGATCGATTTCGAGCCCATGAATTGCATACAGAAACTTCCAGAAGATTTATTGATACAGGATTATTTTAACTGTGACATTTATTGTATCGTGTATAGTTCAACTCTTTGCACTTAAATGACAAGCCCAGGTTAGGTTGTCTTCAAAGGGTGTAGGCCTACGTAAAGGGATTCTAGGGAGGTTTTCTAAATGTTCTATGATCGGGGACACTGATAACACATAAGTGGAATGGTGGAAATTGATGTTATCGTAAAGAATTCAGAAAACTTCTTCACAATCCCTTTAGAATATCCCTCGACAGTAGGAAAAGGAGTAGGTCAATACCACTGTCCTGGGATAATTTCTCTCGTTGTACACTGCATGGTGTTTCCTGTCTTTGGCCCAATCAGATACATTATAGTGGGGCGTAAAACTCTTTTTTTTTATTTAAATAAGGATAACAACTTAGGTTCACTATGATTCTACCACCAGTTGATCCTTTGCAATGTTGTATTAAATGCATTTGTGATATTAATTCCCACTTGGGATGCATCCTTTAAATTTGGCGGGAATATATTATGAGTCGTCAATGGCGTCTGTATTCTATACGTTATCGTAATTCCGGCTCACGTGCATCAATGACGTACACAACGATATAGTTTTATGATATATCTGGTGCTCATTGCCTCTGATATCGGTGCCAAGATTTACCTGAACGATTTTGGCAGAGTTCTATAATCTTACTAGTCCGAAGGCCGTGCCTCTTTGATATGAGTATTTTGCCGACCGATATATTCAGATACTTGGCGATGTTATTCAAGGTCATCATATTCCGCCCTCTCAAAGCTTCAGCTATATGGGTTGGGGCCCTTGGATTTCAGTGTACACGACGTCTTATTCCCATTCTGGAAAATGTTACGGGCAACTGATATTGTGCTGTACAATCTAGGAGAGACTTTTTTTATTTGATAAAAACTTATTTCTACAACAATGATTGGATACTCATAAGATCGGCCATACTTTTTCTAACCGACTTATAATAATAAACTATGTTTCGGATTAATGCCTAACGAACGTAATACACTTTATCATAAATAAATACTCGGCATTCTAACGAAGGTTACAGAAACCCCAGGTGTATTGGAGACCTTTGGCATAACGACAGGTGATAAATGATAACTGAATGTCAAGGTCGTTTCTTTATGCTATTGTTACTTTTTATGATATCAATTTCTTTATTTCATCATTATTTTACATTGATATCACTGGAAGTGATTTTCACACTCATTGCAGGCGTTGGCGCCAAAATGTATGCAGGGGCGGAGGATGTGCCCGATATTTAACTTTCGTCATGTCCGAAACTATTACCCTACCATGTGAGGAAGCATGGCGAATGGGGGTGTGGTATAGACACGATGTTATTAATATTATCTACCCCGTTTCCTTTTAGAATATAAACCTCGAATTTGAAACCAAGATAATATATACTATTCGTGCGATTTTAAAACCGACCATTCAATCTCTTGCAATGTTTATGTTTTGTTTTGTAAATAAGAACACACGGACATAAGCCGTGAATGTGTTATATTAGTTCGGGTAACCCCTCTCCTATGACAAAGGTCGCCTTTTACCGCTTCATACGAAGGTGTATAAACGTGCCCAACTGACTAGGAGATTATGTTTGGCACAAGAGCTGTTTTTCTTAGGACAGATGGAAAACACTGTAAGTAAAAGTACACTAGATCTGGTAAAATTGGGTAATAGAGAAGTAACTTTGGCACTAACTTCAAAGGGAGATTACCTTGAAATTTTAGCTTCTTGGATAATATGTAAATAAATCAAAGATAGGCTTGGCATCAATTTTTAGGTACTTTTACCAAGCTGGCCTCCAAAATGTCAGTCAGGTGCGCTAAGGTCAATTCTCACTATTTCAGATGGCTGTACCAAAACAATATGTAGAGTTTAATGTGGGCGTTGAAGGTATAGCTTCATAGAATTTTATTAAAGTTACCCCTCTATACTCGTTTATGCCAATTTATCCTATTGCTTACTGCCATTCTGAAAGGTTGGAATAGTATTAAGTTTCTAAACTGACGGGTATAGGGGTTCGCAAAATACCAGATGGGTTACCTGTTGTTCTAGAAAACGGGATCCGATAGTTCTATCGTTTATAGATCCAAATGACCCATTTCGTGAAATAATACGATAAAAAGATCGTGATAAAATTTTAATTTAGTCGACCAAAGATAAGGAACAAAGATAAGGTCCTACCAGTATGGAGCAGTTTTAGTTTATCTTGTTGGCTTTGTTTACTAATACACACCTACAACACGTTATTATTGAAAACATTGACTATATCTGACCAAATTCAAAATATTACTCAATTACTGGAGTGTCTTTATATATGTCAGGTTTCTTATATTGGTGCAAAAGCTGTATATTTTAGATTTCTAGCGTTAGTTTACAGGTAATAATCTGCAATTATTGTTGATACTACAAATATTGTGTTGAGTGACATTTGTGGACATTTGACCTCTGACTGACCCTGCGTCGTTTGAGGTTGAATCATTTGGACACAACAGTCGAACTGCAAAGAGAACACAGGTGAAAACAGGTAAGTCTTTTGTTTTTAGGTTCTTAAAATACAATTTTGTTATTGTGTCTATAATACCATATGGTATATAATATTGCTTTTGGCACTGATTGCTCCATAACGTTCAAAGTACAAATTACGTGAAAAAAATCCATTCCATGGCATTTGTCTAGCAGTATATAGATCTTAAAATTCACGAAACTGGTCTTGCATCCAGATCCCATTAATTAACATGTTGAGGGACCTCAATGATACGTGGTCTTTTACGTTTAGAACCTCATCTATTCCATGGACAGCCTCCAGCCCACTTACAGTCTTGATAAACATTAAGAAAAATAACTCGATTCGCATGTGGCAATTTGAAATGCGTTTCTGGCAACGTATTGAAAATACTATAAGTAGGCATAATTGGATTTTAAAAGTAAAAAAATAAGGATTAAAATTGTTAAGAGAAGAAGGAGAAAACGTAGAAAAATATAAGAAGCCACTTGATCACGCAAAATTCTGCTTAATTTAGATAAATGCTTGTGGTTATCACGATTTTAAAAACAAAGTCACTGGCTGCTAGTATATAATATTTAGATATTGCATGGATGTAAAATCTATGATTAGAGTTATGAAGTTGTGTACTGATACTAAAGAAATTCAAAAGAGTTTTTATTAGCTTTTGCCTTAAAATATCGGAAACATATCAGAGACTATGCTCCATTCTTATTTCTAGTCTAAGTCTGTTTCCTTCAGCTTAAACATGGTGTTCTCCGTCATTTCAGACAAATTTCACAAAATTTTCACGTCATCTTCACAAATACCATTTAGCGCCTAGAGATTTTTGTGGTTAACGTTTTACTTACTATATTTCAGCACAACTACTTGGCCTAACATTACAAATATGGAAGAACTTCCTTCAAAGCAGCGACAATTTACACTAGATCTGGTATCTGAACACAGTAACGAAACGTCTTGTTGGATTGTCGTAAATGACATGGTTTATGACGTAACGTCATTTCTTGACAAGGTTCGTTTACAAAAATACATTTTGGAATCTTGAGAAAATATGTGCATCTTTTATGATTGATTCTCTTATAAGATGCATAAAGATAAGATGTACAACTCCAACTAATGTAATATTTATGCTTATATTGGTTACAGCATCCAGGAGGATCCGATGTTGTTTTGGAACATGCAGGAACAGATGCCACTGTAGCCTTTGAAGATAAAGGGCATTCCAAATATGGTGTGAAATTATTGGAAAAATATATAATTGGAGAACTTATAGAGGTAAGCTAAGTGCTTAAATCTTGTTGAAGGACAAAATGTTTTTGGCACATTTCCCCCTCCATATTTTCTTATTACGTTATTTATGGAAGGGTAACAGTGCCAAAACTGAATTGCTCAAGACTGACCAGTGATGTAACCCTTTATTATCACAAAGTGCATAAGCATGCTGACAACCTTCCAAAAATCTTTTTTTATTGTATTTTCCGAAATCCTACAATAATGCCTTTAAAAGATTGCCCTTTGAATTGCAGAAAGATCGAAGATTTAAAAAGATTTATAAAAAGGAACCATGATGTCAATGAAGGAAGAATGCCAAGAGTCTAGTTAAATACAAATGACAAAGGACAAGGTCCTAGAACTATCTGTGCAACCATTAGATCTGTAATCTTGTTTTGAAATAGGCAATTGCGATGGTTTCATGTTGATATACTGTGTTAGCTGCTGTGTTTATTTCTAAATGTGACTTTGTGGATTGATGATGATATTGAAGATTCAAAAACTAATAGTGACCTGCTCATAGCATATTATCAGAAATCTGACATATGCCAGTTGAAAGGGACGAAAGTCATCTAATGGCAATATCATTGGTTATGGAACTACATATCGTTTTCAGTGGCGGAGCCAGGTTTACATCCAAGGGAGAAATACCTGAGGTTGTCCAAATTTCTAACCTAGTTATGAGATTTTTGCACGAAAAACATGTCTTCAGGGCTGCGAGGAGGGGTGGGTAACCTCTGCCCCCCCCCTTTTGTTCCACCACTGATTGTTCTCATATTTGATATCAGATTCTGGTAACTATGTCAGGTGTGTTGTTTTTTATATAAAATTTCCGAAAAGATAACAATATTACAGGGGTCAAAGTGTGAAAATTGAACGTTTGAGGAATGAGTCTTATCTACATAGAATACTATACCAAACCACTCCTGAATATTATCAGTCACTAGGTCATAGAAGATAAGACACCATTCCAACTACAATGTATTGTGATTTTTTTATAAATGTCAGATCAGAAGACTATAAGCCTCTGATAGTAAGAGATAGGCAGAGAAAAAATAGTTAATTTATTCTACTTCAGTCTGTTGTCAAAAAGTTCAGAACTTACAATTTTTGAATCTAAGGAATCTGATTGGTCAATATTATCCCTGCTTATGACATTAAACAACCAGGTTCTAAGCCATTTTGTTTCCATCAAGCCTTGAGTTTTTTTTTGATATTCTGTATTTGGATTATTTTAACCCGGTGAAATGTCTAGTATATTTTGTATATTATTTTATCACACCAGTCAATGTCACTCATCATTTCTTTTCATTTTTATTTTCTATTGTTTTAACTCACTTTTGATTATTTTAACTTTTAAATCTGTTTAGTAGTAAAGTGTCAGAGGGTCATTTGGTGCTTTTATAATCAATATGAAATGTAGCTCACTATTACTAAATTCTGAGTAAGTGAAAATGGAGTCACCCACAGATTAACAAGAAACAAGATTACTTCATTTGTGGGGGATGCGCCCCATCAAGTGAGAATTAAGCCCCAGCGAAACCTTCTTCGGTTCAGCAGAGATTGATTCATTTACAGTGTTTTTGTACAAAATTAAAAATATTTTTGGCACCTCGAAATGGTCATAAATGAGTTCTCTGTGCCTTTAGTTCTCAAATTTTCTGAGTAAAATATCTGAGCCCCAGTACCAATACATTCCTGGTGATGGGGCTGCTTCATTCTGTGTTCTCTTACAGAAACACAGGAAATATTTATAACATTGGGGACTATTGAATTTTGCTTCTAGTCTTATTCTAGACACAGTGTGTTATAGCTTGGCATTGTGATGAAGGGAACGACCAAGTAATATAGAGTTAAGTTTGTGGCGTTAAGGTCATGTGACATCATTTGATAACAGCTGCTTCATCAGCCGCTCAAGTACATATCACAACATTATGTGGGTGGAAGAGTGGCAACTGGTGCTGAAAGGGTTAAATCAAAAGAAAACTTAAAAATAGTCTTTATCAAAATATTTAACAATAAAATTTAAAAAAAATTAACAATTATACAATATTACAGACATGAAAATCTCCTGCTGGATATTTGACCAATAAATGAAACATTTTGAAAATAAGGACAGTTTGACTTAGTCAATTTTTGAGCAATTACAACACTTGATTGGGTCTGCGAAATCCTTCAATTGTCAACTTCCTGTACAGGAAACATGGAGTGAATTTAGAGTATTACCCCTTCTTTCCTATGTATCATTTAATCGCAGACAAACCACAACTCAAATTATATATTTTTTTTAGCATCTAATCTGAGAAGAGACAATGAATATTTAGATGACTTTAAGCTTTTAATTGAGTAACAGAATTTTTAGATGATTATATTACTTTAAGCTTTTAATTGAGTAACAGAATTTTTAGATGATTATATTACTTTAAGCTTTTAAGCTTTGAATTGAGCAATTATTTAGATGACTAATGACTATATCCCAATTGGTCCCAGCTTTGCCCAACCCAGTTTAAAATTTCTTTTCATTGAGATCATAAATGCCTGGTGCTGTAAGCTCTGCTTGACAAGTGTGGCCCTTTCTCGGCAGAAACTCATAGCGTTTTCCCAGTGTTAAATTTTACTTTTCGTTTAATGAACAATGTTAAAACTGCTAAAATAGAACCAATGATATACATATAGATAACTGTGTTTTCTTCTGGCATAAAACATTGGTTGATTTCAAATTTTTCTGGGGTGATTGTAGCCTGAAAAAAATGGAGAATTTGTTAAAAAAAAGTTGAATATAGTTTTACCTCCACCTTTCTAATCCTCATCAAGCTAATGAAGACATGATTATTGTCAGGAGTAGCAAGAATGGCCTACTTACGATTGTAACTTACCATTAAAAATGTTGGATTATTTGTATTTCTCCAACTGAAAGACGACACTGTCCATTCTGGAATATTTTTTCGATGTACTGTATAACAACCATGGTGAGTGTGAGCTCCAACAACTAATCTAGGTTTCAACCAATTTAATAACTACAAAATATATATATACATGAATATCAATATCACATAGAACATAGCAAAATATATTTTAGGTTCTATCTTTTATCAAAGTGAATTTTTCTTGTGTATAAGGGAACTGATTGCATTGATTTGCATCCTTCCAAATATAAGTCTGAAGTTCTTACTATTCCACTTAGACTCAGCGATTTTACGACTGGCCTTCAGATATCATTAGCAGCTTTTGTGATAGTGACTTCATTAAATGCTTAAGCTTTATTGGAAATGGTGGATATGCAAGAACCACCATTGGAATGGTGCAAAGCACAACTAAAAGAGTCACCCATACACATAAAAAGCAAAGAAACCTTCTTTACAATCACAAGAATTCACTCTTGCTTAGTTTCCTCTGAAGAGCTCAACTTGAACAAAACTGGTTGGGCCGTACACACCAGTTCTTCTGTACAATAAAGACATAAAGATTCAGATTTTAAAGTCGAAAAGTGTAACAGATAGGTGAAATTGAGTTCTAGCAATAGCCAATCAAATATTTAAAACACTCTATCTGTTTTATATCTATAAATATGATCAATTGATCAACAATGAAATTCTCAGAATAAATTCAACTTACCAAATCTGATGCCTCCTTAGATAAACAATCTTGCTTCTCAAGAAATAATATATTTTTCTCTTTTTCTGGGGCTGAATCTTTTAAATTACATTTTTTATCAGAAGTTCTGTACAGTGGGAAATGCTGAAGAAAACCATGTAAAGGGAGATAACAAATTTTACTAATAAAAAGTATTTCATCCAACTATTCTCCATAATGTAGGAAAGGAGATATAACAGAGAGAGGTAATAAGCAGTGCACAAAAATGGACATTTTTACAGGACAGCAGTGAAAATTAACAGGACAGCAGTGAATATTAACAGGACAGCAGTGAATTTTAACCAATCAAAACCACTCTTTGAAGTGTAATAAGTGTATATGTAAGAAACAAAATATAAATGTCACCTGTAGAAGTATTGGTTGAACATATTTACTCTTTTTGTCCTTTTCACAATTACTATCATCTTTTTGACATTTTTTCTAAGAAAATAAAATGTGTACAGAAATAATCGTGAAACTTTGACAACTGCCAGTTTGCTTGAGCGAGATTGAATGGTGGTCATGGGTACGAGAAGTTACCAATGTATCGATAAATAACTAAATAACTGATTGCCGAACAATCTGTGATTAAAACTATGGCGAGCAAGTCATTGCGTTCTGGTTGGCCAAACCATTTGAGCTTTAAATGGAAGTCACCTGGAAGGGTTTGCCACCTGACCAATATTTAAGCGTGACTAAATTTCAAGTGACTGAGTCCCTGCCTAAACACGGACTTTTCATTATAATGAAGGTATTAAATCCTTGGTAACCAGCCTTGCACTGGAGTCAGTTAATAAGTTCATTGTAGAGAATAGATGAAGAGTAACCTGAGAGTTATCTAATTGGTTTTTAATCTGTTGTAGTTGTCTCCTGGCCTCCTGGCACATTGTACAGTAATCTCCTTCAAACGCCATACTATTAACAACCACAAACATATTGCCATGTTTTTCTATCAGCTTCACGCCAGTAGTATTAAATACTTTCTCAAACCTATCCTTTCTTTCCCTTGATATCCTGAAAATATATATATACATTATATAAACTTATATATAAACAAAAAACATTTTACAATCTTGTAAATCTCTCCAGAAGTAGGTAATTTCCTATCAAATTACTGAAATCCAGAGTCCCCACTCTGACCTTGGCCAGTGCTTCTATAAGAGAGTATCTCTTATCAAACCTTATACTCTACAGATTGATATCAGATGGTCACTGAACCAAAATTTCAAGAAAATAAAGAGTAATACACAAGGGATAAAACATGTCCCAGAGTGTTACGATATTTAAAACCTGAACCAATCCAGGACCATGATGGACTAGTAAATATGTTTTCAGGGCGTACAATAATGGAACAAGATTGCTTGAACTATTGTGGAAACATCTAAAATTGAAGCATTTAAAACTTGGTGTACAGTTTTCATTAAATGTTTGTCACAAGCAAGTCACTTATTTACATCACATCACATAACTCTTACTAAGTTCATATAATATAACACTTACAAGTTATCAAAGGGACAGATTCGCCATTTGTTGATTTGAGTCTTGAATATATATAGTCTTTAGAAGTACTAGAAATGTACAAAAATCGCATAATTCTGTCCAAAAATAGGTATTTCATTTTCTTTTTCTATATATGACAGAGTCAACTTTCAAACGTGGATAATTCTGAACACTAAAAATCAAATAGAACTAACTATTTTGCACAACACTTACTAGTTTTTCACTTCAGTCTGACTGAACTTTTCAAGAGAAGCATAAAAATAGCTTACATATAATGAAATCCCATATCATGATTACCAGCTACTAGATGTAGTTCTGTCTTACTGTGTACACTGAACATTTTATAAAATCTTTCCACATGGTATCTAAATTCTGATTCCAGACACCACTTCCCCTCATCTAATAAATCACCTACAAAACAACCATTTAACTAAATTAGAACATTTACAGTACCATTTCAATTTAATCTTTATTACTCAAAGCGATAATCGATGTAAACGAAGTATGTTCTCTTGTTGTGACCTTGGCCAGTGCTTCTGTAGGAGAGTATCTTCTATAACACCCAACACCAAAGCCATTGATGTTTCTGGGAATAATTACTGTAGGTGAGGGTGAGGTGGAACTGTCCATGGGGGAGGGGGGGCGTGTGGGAAAGGGCTTTCAAGCAATTCTTTCTCTATTGAACAGAAATGTGAAAGTACAGGCATCCAGTAGAAGGTCACTGACCAAACTTGTGTTTAGCTGTCTACTGTTTTGCCATGCGGTGATTCACCTATTGAGATTGTGTTTCAGTTGACAAAACTATATAAATGCTCTGGTGAAAGCAGAGCAGGATAAGAAGGGTCAAGTTCTCAACACTGATCCGTTGTTTCAAATTGTCTGAGGTAATATTAATCTGAACAAATAAATCACATTTCTAAAATGGAAAAATTGTATGCCGAAAGGCCATAAATAGTTATCTTACCCAGAACAAAAACCATGTCAGGTTTATGTAACGACATAGTGGTTTGGAATGCTCTCTGCATCTGCCATTCTCTGAAAAGATATGAGGATTAGATGAGAGCTCAAATAAAAATGCATTTTACTTTTTAACATTCAGCACAAACATTTGCTTTAACTTTGTGGATGGAACATAAATCTGATACCTGTTAGACTGAAAGGAATTGTTTCAGCGTTTTCTAAACCTTTTTTTTGTATATGGGACACTGAAAGCATCGATTTGCACCATTCCAATTTACCGCACATGTGTGTGGTTATCACAATTCTACCTAAACTAAGCTGACGTGTTTCACGTACACAAAAACCAGAGATACTTAAGAACCTGTGGAATAGTGACATCACAAAACATCCTGAATATTTACCTTCTTAATTTATCCCACCAGTGACCATTTCTAAATCCTAATAAATGGGTATCCCCTAACAACATTACTTTCAATGGTTTATCAGGTTTTTCCACAGACGGGTCTAATTGAGGCCAAGTGCACTGTAGTAATACCACGTAATAGTGAAAATATTCACAATATAGAAATAACGCAAGAAGACTGAAGAAAAATCTGACTATTCTATTGTTTTTAATGGAATCCAAGAAAATGTATGGCACAGTCATGTCTCTTTGGTTATTTGATTCATTTACACTATCCTGAAATATAAAGATATTGTGAATTTCATTTCATATCTATACTTGCCAAGAATGCAAGATAGGAAAAGGCTCAGAATTAACAAAAAAAGGGGTCACTGAAGTTGCACTTTCGCCCCGTCAAGCAATCGATGTGAAACTGACTTTGGATGCAAAAAGGTAATAATATGTGTCCTCAAAATTTTGTTGTTGCTGTGTTACAAAAATATCAGAGTAGTGTTTGTATTTAGTAGTGAGACGGTCAGTTTTCTACTTTCAATTTGTTTTGGTTTCATGGGTGTTCGCATAGGCTTGTAACTCATTGTAAGTATACACTGATATCTGACAGGTCTACAATCACAGAAGAATACATAACTGTATGTCTTACGAAATAAATGATTACTTCAGTTAGTCCATTTCTAGTAGTTTAAGCAGATTATGTTATCTTTAAATTCATATATTTTTCCTATAGATGGGGGCCGCCATGTTTCTCGCAAGATGCGATATATTTCGAGGTTGGATTATTCTATTTGTATGAAGGGGTTATTGAGATTTGACGTTTTAGTCCAAAGATATTTCAGATATCATCTTAGCTATTTCAACATAAAAATTTCCTTGAGATTACTATTTAATGAACTTTACTTATTTTTTTCTTCGTCCATGTCGCCAAATTTCACAGGCTTAAATATACATTGTCAATAATTATGCTTCTTCCCTTTCACCCCATCTTTGGAAAATAGACTGGCCTGATTCTCTACTTTCATTTTTACTTCAGTAGGCATTTAATCCTAAGCTAGACTTGAAGTAGTGATAATACTAAAAGTTAAAACATAGCCGGGAAGTTTATTCCTAACATTCTCAATTCGCCTGGAACTGAAAACATTTTTGATCAAATATTCAATCTAAGTAGCCAGCTGTTATTTACCACAGTGGCAAAATAAAGCTGCACAGCCAAAGTCACACACAATATTGAATAAGTCATTTGGAAATCAGTAAGAAAAGAGAATATCATTCATTTTCAATTTGAATATCCAAATATACTCAAAACACCAATAAAATTTTTAAAACTGATTTAGATTGTGAATTTAAATATGGGTTAAAATCTTAAACATGGGGAGGGAGGCCCTGGTGGATGTAGAAGTGAAGTACTTGCATGCTTGCTAGTGGGTTAGGGCTTCTATAATAAGGGCATTAGTCAAAACATTAGAAATCCAAAAAGAAAAGGCCAGTGCCATTGTCATGGCAAAATTTCCCTCACTGCATACTGCATGGTGATTCCTGTATTCGTGTAGGATGTAAAACTCCCATCACATTTCATATGACCAGAGGAGGGGGATGACTTGGGTTGTATATCAATAACATATAAGTTGCTTAATGGAAGAATAAAAATGATTATAGCTGTATCAATTATTTATTTTGTTTACCATCTTGATTACTAATCAATAAATGAATTAAATATATACTTGGTGGATAGGTTTGAAAGCTGACAACAAGCCACTTTTGGAATCATTTACCTATAGGAGGATTCCAACCCACAACACTTTATTACCTAGCAGGGAACAATCCAAATCATACCAATGCTAGCTGTCAGTCAAGTGTCTTAACCTCCTTTAGATCTGGAATATGTAAAGTATCCCACAAAAAATATTCAATACCCTTTTTCTCACTTTACAGTATATTTGATTATGGTATAGTTAATACAATGTGATTCAATTAGAACATCTGTTGACAATGTAAATATTGATATTCTATTCTCTCGTAGATAATGAGGTTTAAGCTTATTTTTATTATTCATTATTTTTATTGTTTATATCCTTCATCTGTTTATTTACAGAGACTTGTACGTGTTTGGAGGGACATACATAGCGTTTAGTTATATTCTGTTTTGCCGGTTTCAGTGTTTAATTGAAAGGTTTTCTAAACATTTTAAGTGTATAGGAGACAATGATGGCATCCATTTGTACCTTTTATGCTCTTTTTTTTACCTTAAATGACATCAATATTCCAAAAACTGCTAATAACATCATTCTAATGAGTCTTTGAGAAAGTGATGTCATAAAATACTTAGTTTTAATGGAATTGCAAGAGGCGTTAAAAAATGACAATTAAAATGTTGTCCCTCATACACATATGAAAAAGTTTAGAAAACCTCTTATAATATCAAAACAAAACCTGAATATTTTCCAGTATTGGTGTTGTTGAGATTGTTAATAAAATTAGTGAGCTTTAGAAGGAAACTAGAGTTACAAAGTGTAAGTATTAATAGATATATTAATAATTGTAATATATGAAGTAATTGTCTGCCATGTGGGACTTTCTTGGTTTTGTAAGGTTGCCAAATAGGAAGCACAGACATCAGACAGATGGAATTATGCAAACAGAAGCCATAAATGGCCCTGATAAACATAAGAATAAGGAGAAAACCACTTTACGACCCCCTTAAATTCCACTATTTGAACTTAACTGTATCAGCAAAATAAGCAAATTAAATGAACAAGTGTGACAATATTTATATTGCTCACTTATTTTGATTGATATTTTTTAGACATGGCTCAAGTTCATCAAAGAATGATTAAAAGATGTAACGAGCTTATGTTAATGATGATTAATTAACTCTAATTATGTCTGACAGAACATTATGTATGGTATATTTTCAGCAGTGTGTCTGGCAGTAGAGAAACTAGAGTATTGATATACCAACCTGAAGAGGGTCAACACGAGGGAATTATTGATTGAAGTCTGAGCTATCGGTTAATATCTACAGCTCTGGTCTAAAACTATTGGAATTTCAATCATTCTGCTACATGTAAGGAGCTCAGACATACCACTGTGAGTTTTATTCTGTAAATATTTTTACCTTGTGCTTGTTATTTTGGGGGATATTTTACTATTTTAGAATCTAGGAAGTGATTAATTTGAAATTACATGGAATAATTGATTTGGAAAGTCTAGGTTGTAAATATTGATTTAGAACTCTTGGAGTGTAGCATCTACACGTTATATATAACATTGTTTTTTTCACACTAGTCTCTCGAGTGTTAAACTTGGCTATTTGTTAATCATTGCCTTCACTCCATGTGTGAGATGGCATTTACAATCTACGTGATTCCACAATTGAGTTCCTAATTAGAATAATTACGAAGCAAAGCATCTTTGATTCCCATTTCTCAAATTGACTGGTTTCTGACTAGGATTTCTATGGTTTCTCTCCAAGTTAACTTTATGATTAAACGTGATATAGTTGTTTGTTTAGTGACTTTCTAATAAGAATTATGGAATACGGATATGGAAATCGTCGTTCGAGTCGCAGTAGTGACGATGAAGGCAAGTCACTCTCGTCTAGTCTTTCGGAAGGAACATCTAAATTTTTTAATTCCGTGATGTCAAAGAAAAATGGAATATTTAGTGATATTTCAAATAAAATTGAGACGACATTTAGCATGAAAAGTGGAGGGAGCAGTAGCGCTAGTAGTGGAAACACGAGTCCTGTGAATTCACCACCCATACCCTCTCAATGCACTCAGTCTCCTACCGCTCATAAATCACCACCTGTGCGTACTAATTCGGTTAACACCCCACCACCTCCCAGACCCCCACCTCCGACTAGGAGACCCTCTGAAAAATGTTTTCAAAAACGTCATCTTCCCCCTAGAAGCATGTCAGAGTCTGTAGGAAGACGCGAAAGCGCTGACCGAGGATCCATGGAGGATCCTATCACTGTTAACGGCATGAATGTCAGCTTTGATGAACCTCTTTATAACAAGAGGGAAGCTCCTGTAGGAAGAAGCTCCGATTCTGCTGAGGCTAGACACAGCAGAGAATCTTCGCGTAGGGTTGGTCCCACCGGTGGCAATAGTGCAGACAGCCGGGATAATTCTGCACAGAGACAAAAAGATAGATACACCAGACGCCAAAACAATTTGTCTTCTTCCTCGAATGAATCTGATAAACCGAACGAGCGTAGTGATGGTAAGCGTGCACCCAAATTGAAAACTGGACGTCGATCCAGCACTGTTGATGAAATGTTATTTGATAATTATGTTCCTCCAGATATTACTGACATACCAAGTGAACCTATTTCCGGAGATCTAATGTCGTTTGATCAATCAGAAGATCGGAAAGAAAATCGACGAAAAAAGACTTCTCCTCATCCAAGTCAAAGCAGTATTGACTCTAATGAAAGCAACAGATTGTACACCAACACAAGTATTGATTCTTCAGATGCTGAATATGGAGGAGTCCCAGTACATCGCTCAGGATCTCTCGGATCAGATAAATCCTGGAGCTCCAACTACAGCATCGATTCCCAACCAGATGAAGTGACTCTCGAATGCATGGAATTTATGAAATCTTTCGTGGATAAAGTCTTCAATACAAGGTAGGTGAAAAAATATCAGATTTTAAGTGTTACATGGCAAACTTTTGAGGACCGTCTGTAGCGCAGTTCGTAAGAGTGTTGAAATCAATATTACACAATTTCCTTGATCACGCAAGTCAATATTTATGTTTAATCATATTGCTTTTAGTTGTTTTTAATAATTAATGTGGTAAAAGAATATCTTGGACAATTAAGGAATGATACCAGTTTTAATTTGGGTTTAAGAAAAAAATTCCCAGACATTTTAACACCAGTTGTTCTGAGGAAAGTTTTTTTTAAATTAATTGTAATTATCAGTCTGAAATATGTTGTTCTCTTTGTACGTGACATTCTATACAGACAAAAGACAATTTTACACTTTTGTCTGGGGCAGACATGAAATTACACTTGATTGAATTATGGCTGAGAACAAAAAAAATATTAAAGTCTGCTTGAAAACAGAAAAAAGAACACAGTAAGCTTACCTAGTTTATTTCTGAAATGGCGTAAACAAAAGATTAAAATATGGAGTGTTTACATGGAAAAAGGGTTGAGGTGCTCAGAAGAGACAATAAATTAAGGTCCTTTCAGGCGCTACATACCATGGCATGCTTGTCTATATCAGCAACCAGGCCTTGATTGTTCGGAGGAGCAAGTAATATATCTGGAGGGGCTATGGTGTATGGTGTTTACTTGCAGTAATGAAATTGGTCAATTGTCAGAATTTTTTAGGGGGACCACAGAGCCCCTTTGCCCCCTCTAGCTACAGGCCTGATTAGCACATTGAAGAGTATATAAGCTAGATTCATTTATACTTTGTAAGTTTGCTGATATGCATTTGATATGTATAACACAATTAAGAGGATTATTGAAAGGTTTTCTTGCTATATTAAAATTTGTTTGTGCATCAAGAAATGATTGAGCAGACACAAAAATACATTGTCTAGTTGGCTTACAGTAAGATACATCGTCAAGGCTATGTTTTGTACCAGATATCATCCAGGGTATCGTAAATATATTATTACTATAACTAAGCTGGATTAATTATTCCATATTAACAAGGTTGGGATAGATTTTTGTCAGGGATAGTATTCTCGTTAGACATGCTATGCTAATTAGTGTGCTGATTTCTAATAAACAATTAATGTCTCTATCATAACTATTGATTCAGTTGACAGATATTCCAATAATGACTATAGGCAGATGGTTGGTGGGCAAACTAGGTAGATGTTAGTAGTCGTAGTAGTTGGTGGTTGAATTGGTTCAGTTGAACATCTGCACTGTTGTTGATAGTTGATAATTCATAAGATCTGAATGATTCGAATGACATAGTCTTCTTTATATTTCCAAACTCATTGTGATCATGGTAATTCTTGTTGATTGCTAGTCGAATGGTAGTCGTTGGTTTGGTTTGGTTTGGTTAGATAATCTTAAACTAAAGGCTAGTAGACATTTGCAGTGGTTTGCTTTAAAAAGGAAATGTATAACCTTTGACCTTGGGTTATGAAGGTCACCAATTGCAGTCAGTGTAGGTTGTTGATCACTTTGACGGAAGCCTGGTTTATTTCCATCAAGGTAATTGTATGTTGTTCAAGTAGGCGTCTGGAATTCACTTGTGTTTGACCTTCAGACACTCTTGTATAGCAGTAGTCATTCAGACACTCTCCAAGGGGAGATAATCGGTAAAGTATCATTGCCAGTTTCGATTCACCTCTATAGCCATGATCTATGAGATAATCACAAATTATACCCATTGACATTTGTACAAAAATACCATGTTTACAGTCCTCCAGTTCTGTACCCTGGAAAAGTGACCATAAGTTATTATGTTGAGGCTTTATAAATGGTATTAATGTGCATAATATTTCAGAAAAAGCCATTTTTTTGTCTTCTGCAGTTGACTCTTCATATTCTGTAAGCCTATTGATCTGAGAGAATTTCTCCAACAACCGTAGGCATGTATGATTATTGAGTTGAGTATATTTAATTTGCTTAATTAATTAATCTCAATCCTACTACAGTATTTTTACTACCCACGTCTTTTCTTCCGTATTTTAGTACTGAGATTGATTGAACAACATGATGGATCCCTGAGGGAATTTGAAAAGATTGGACCTATTGTGAGCTCAGTTCTTACAGGTTGATATTACCTTTGTTATTTGTTCCCAAGATACAAATGGCAAACAACTTCCTTGTGTTAAGGACACCTGATGCCATGTCTTCAGAGGAACATCTGCATCTTGTCAACACTTCATAAAATCTTGATTTGAATTCAACCATTTCATGTTTCTGTTTGATATTTTCTTCTCAATGATTAAAGAAAGGCCTAGAACTAAATTATGAAAAACAATCGTTTCAGATAAACTTCATAGTCCTTATGCATAACAATAACTGCATCTAGTCTTTGATGGATAACAAAACTTCAAATAATCTTTAACAAAACTTCAAATAATCTTTGGATAACAAAACTTCAAATAATCTTTGGATAACAAAACTTCATCTAATCTTTGGATAACGAAACTTCAAATAATCTTTGGATAACAAAACTTCATCTGATCTTTGATGGATAACAAAACTTCATATAATCTTTGATGGATAACAAAACTTCATCTGATCTTTGATGGATAACAAAACTTCATATAATCTTTGATGGATAACAAAACTTCATATAATCTTTGATGGATAACAAAAATTTTTCTAATCTATGATGGATAACAAAACTTCAATTAATCTTTGATGAATAACAAAACTTCATCTAATCTTTGATGGATAACAAAAATTTGTCTAATCTATGATGGATAACAAAACTTCATCTAATCTTTGATGGATAACAAAACTTCATCTAATTTTTGGATAACAAAACTTCATCTAATCTTTGATGGATAACAAAACTTCAACTAATATTTATTCTTTGATGGATAACAAAACAAAAATCTCAGAGAATCTTCATTGATATTAAGAATAACTACAGATAGTTCTCATAACAAATCTTGGCCTATCCTATCCTGAACACCTTGCAGTATGTATCAAGTAATATTATTTTCGTTTTAGCAATTGTAGAACAAAACAAAGTATGTATCAAGTAATATTATTTTCGTTTTAGCAATTGTAGAACAAAACAAAATTTATTAGAAGTCTAAAACAGTTGAAAGAAATATCTATTTCCAAGCAAAATTGATATTATAATCATAGAGAAGCAAATCAATAAATTAAGAAACAAAATTGGGAAAAAGAAGAAATTTAAGACTGATAGAATAGTAAGGTTGTGGTCTTCGTAATTTCCTTTTTCATGGCCGATGGAAGATTCTGTCTGTCAAAGAAAACATGTAATACTTGATAGTTAATCAATAACAGAATAACTCTTAATTTGAATATTACTAGCTTTGTATCAATATAAGAATTTTAGGTTGTAACATTGCAGTTAAGTTATGCTACGAAAGCAAAGGAATGTAGGGTTAAATCGTAAACAATTCAGGACACAATCAGTCTATGTCTTCTTTTTAGATAGCTGAAGCTTGATGGAAATGTGTGCTGCTAACAAAACTTTGAACATGTAACAATGTTTTAGTTTTCAACCGACAAATTCCTGAAAAATTAAGTGAGATAAAATACACATTTTAAGAAATACAATATTCAGATTAGAAAATAAACTTAATTTAAAATAATTGTTGTGAATGACCAATCAGATGACTGTCATTTGAGCTGCCCTGCCAGTCATATCATCAGGCAAATAGAGCCCTGCTGGCTAGAACACTAAAATCATCATTTTCAAGAACAAGGCTTTTGATGTTTAAATAAAGATGGTGTAAAAATAACAGAGCAGAGGAAGTGCCTGTACTAAATACCTATCAACTGATCAATATGTACTATAGAATCTAGAATAAACAAGTGAACCATTGATTTCTGATTTCGTCTGATTGCAGCCATCTTGTATTGACTGGAGGTCATTACTCTGAAAGATAGAGCCAACTAATTTCTGTGTACAGTGTATTCTGTGAATTGCAGACATCTGAATATTATGCAGCTTGTCACTGACTGAACTATCTCCTTAGCTGATTCTAAAGCCCATCACATACCTAATTACCAGACAATGTACTTCCTGCCATGTCATTCTAATTTCTTTTTAAATCTCCATTTATGTCCTCTTGGAGTCTGTTGGAATTATTTTCAGAACTAAGCCATTCTGTAATTACAATAATGCTAAGTGCATGTAGATTGCTGCCATATTTTAGTTAGATACTGATATTTTTCTGTGTTTATCAGTCAGGTATTTGATTTCAGTTCTGTTTGGTTTGAAATGTCCTCAAGTTCATTTTTGATATTACAACACCTTTGTTTAAGATTTTGGCCATGGTGGCTCTGTTACTACCTGGCAGAGGTTGTCAGATTTTTCAACCTGGTTTCCCCCTGTCAGTGATGCAGGTCGTGAGGGCTGATAAATTTCCCTCATTGCACCCTGCATGGTGTAGCTCGTCTTCATTAGCCCACATGCTACAGAAAACTAGGACGTAAAACTCCATTCATTTCATTTTTTGAGACACACAAGAAAAACATTCTTACTTCATTGACATCTCTTAAAGTGAAGCAAAAAGCATTTAGATTGGGTGACATTGAGTGCAGTTAATTTCCATTGAATTTATCTCTAGTTTACAGAAGGCTGTAATTCTAACCTAGATGTATTTGTTATTTCCTTATAACCATTGATTTACCAAGCCAGTGTTTAATAATGTCTATAGAACTTCCTCTCTTTTCTAATCTCTATTCAAATTTTCATTCCAATAGAAAAAGTTGACGGAATGGTTTCCACAAATTCTGGAACTGATCCAAAACAGTTCAATGGCACAACTGACCCACATGTCATGGAAGAGTGTCTCAGGTTGGACCATGCCAATTGGCAGTCCAAATTAACCTTTGTTTGATGTCCAATTAGAGTTTTACTTCCTACTTTACTGCTCATGGTAGACCCAATGAAGATGAACAATACTGAGAAATAAGGCATCTTCAACTATGTGAACTCTCCAAAAGTGAGATCAAATTTGTAAAGTAAGTTTCATTATGGTAATGATTGACCATTAAGGTAATGGTGCATAGCTCATAGTTGACAATCATTGATTTGCTTTCAACTGTGCCACATTTTACCCTTTTTTTTATATAGAATATTTTGATGTAAAGAAGCCAACAAAAATGGCCTTACCTGGTTCCTCACCAGTGATAAACATATTAAATTCCTTGTAGGGCATAAGGACATAGGAATATCTTGATAGCTTTGTAAAGATACTAACTTTTGTCATGATGAAAATTCTTAAAAACTAGCAACCAACAACTGATCTGAATGAACTTGGAATGAAAAAAGCTACATTAGATGTCTGGTCCTGTGGTTAGCAAAATCACATTCATTAACCAGGTCTGAGGAACTTAGTAGAGTGATATCTGTCCAACTAGATGTAAATGTGCTTCCTCCATTCCAGCCTGTTATATCAGTTTATCTTTATCGCATTCTGTACTTAAATCTAAAATCATTTTTTTATCATATTAATCTCTGAAGTCTGATGTTTCTCAATTCCATTATCCACATTATATGGTAATGAGCCCACTCATGTGGAAACTCTATTTTTATCTTAATTCTCATTTTAACCTGCCATTACTGTCTATGTCAATCTGTAAACCATCATGGTTGTTGATTCAGCTTATTTGCCAGTCATGTATGGTTCAAACCCCAAATGATTGGATATCATAATGCTTTTTGTGACTTTTTTATGGACACATTTATGACCAATCTTGGTGAGAAGACGATGAGAGCTAGCATGACTATGTACTATGTTATCACTTGAACACTTGGGGTGTTGAAAAAGCAGCATTTCTCAGTTAAGTCTGGCTGTAGCTCTTTGGAACATTCAAGAACAAGACCATTTTGACCACTTAGATACAATGTATTCAGATTACCTCAAACAACCTCTATTAGTACTTCTATAAAATCCAATACCCCCTTTAACACAATCCACCAAGATCTGTCTTTCACTCATTTTAGGGTGTTTAATGCCCCCATATTTCAACACACATCATTAGGGTTTATGATTGTATTTATCACATAGCTATATCAGAGAGAAAAATGTGTTACCAAGCATTTGAGCTGATAGCTGGTCATGTCCTGAAAATGCAGCCAAATCAACAGCTTTGGCTTGTATCATTCACAAAATATGTGGTTTTCTAGTTGGTATCTGGATTTGCTCCTTTAAGATTTAGAATGTGGTTTATCAGCTGATATTTGAGTTTGGTCCTATAAGAATATGAGCATGTGGTTTTCCAGTTGATATCTATGTTTGCTCCTTTAAACCTAAGAACATGTGTTTTTCCAGTTGATATCTATGTTTGCTCCTTTAAGATTAAGAACATGTGGTTTTCAGTTAATATCTTGGTTTGCTCATTTAAGATTATGACCTGCAATTACTAGGTGATATCTGGGTTTGCTCCTTTAAGAATATGAACATGTGGTTTTCCAGTTGATATCTGGTTTGTACCTTTAAACCTAAGAACATGTGTTTTTTCAGCTTATATCTGGTTTGCTCCCTTAAGACTGTGAACATGTGGTTTTCCGGCTGATTGCATTTAATCAAAAATAATCCAAGATTTGAAAGTGTGGATTATTTTTTTCTCTTTTTAATTTCCGTATATTCTATGAATCATTGATTTTCCAGAATGGCTCTAGATGAATAATTAATGTTATTTATTGCTTTTTTTCCAGTGATGATGTCACACAAACAGAAAAAGCTAAATTTGGAGAATTGTGCCAGGTAAGCATTGTTTTAATATTGTAAGTAGACTGCTTCATCAAACCGGGGTACAAATAGGGGCAGACTATATATATATATAATATTAATATAAGACTATTATAATATATAATATGAATTATTATAGTTATAAGTTAATGACTCTTATTAGACAGTATTTATGTTGTCAGTTGTGATAAATGATGAGAAATGATAATAAATGATATAACAAATAATCCTACACGTTTACCCATTCTGACAAATTATCTCAAACTACCTCCTGCAACCATTTTGACATAAATAACCAATTTTATTCAATAATTGACAGCCAAATGAGATTAATTTTTAGAAAATGTCTGAGATGTCTCCTTCAATTTACTATTTTAAACTAAAATGTTATGACATCTATGTTGAAATGTTTTAAAAAAAATGCCAGGAAAGAAATTAAAAGAATAGGTTTGATAGAGGTTGGTAAATAAAACGGAGGAAAAATATTTAGTTATTGAAGCCAAAAATAGGCAAAATTTGTCAAGAAAGAAAAGTAAAAGATGAAGAAGTAAATCCAATGCGGGAAAATCTATCTAGAAATGTTGAAATTGAAACTAGTAGATGAAAAAAGAGTGAAACTGTTAACGCATGTGTTTATTTGAAATGTTAAAATTAAGTAATAATGACGGTATAATGAAATTTAACAGTTTAAGGAAATGTCACAAGCTTTTTAGAATTAAAAGTTTTCAGTTTGAAGAGTCTGGCGATTTGATCTCAGTAGAACTTTAATTCCTTAGCAACCATCTTCACAATATCAAGCTATTATAAACTTCATACTTATACCTTGACTGCAATAGCCACTATTTATGTATCACAGAATGATTGGATTATGTGCCAGTGAATACAGCCACACAGATCTCTTGAAAGAAAGGCTGTAAACATTGTGGCTTTGTGTTCACAGACTTTCTGTCCAGGCCTCTGATTAGCTGTATTTGGTAGCATACAGTCCAATTTAATTTCTTCATTAACTAACTTCTGTGATACAAGAAAGTTGGCTCTGCAGTCAAGTTATAAGCATGACGTAATAGCTTGATATAAGGTAGCAACAATCTTGTTTGTTTATGATACTGTACTGGAAAGTGACAGGTTAATTAAATGTCATATTTGTCTATTACAGTATTCCCCAGGAAGATTATGGTTTGCTAGATACGTGAATTCACAGGTAAGTTATCTCTAAACAATATGATCAACACATAGGTTGGACTGATGCTAATGACCATCCAACTCAGTTAAAGGACCAAGACGGAACTCTATGACTCTGATTATTAACTTTTGAATATATCTCTCCACCTCTTATCTGCCATCCTCTAAAAGACATCTTTACTAATGACTCTACCAACTTCTAATTTTCACAAAAAAAATAACTGGTGCACTGTCATATAAATCAGCATTTTTAGGTGAGACTTTATCAATGCATGGTAACACCACATTTGTTCCCTATGATACCAGTAGCAACCAGGAGACAGGCATCAACTAGACATGACTACCAACCTGTCCATAAGCTTAAAGGAATTCCAACCACAGAGACAATGTAAGAATTTTTCTGGTAATCTTATAAATGAACATTACATGTCCCCCAACCCCCTCTGCTAGACTATCATTTAAAGGAATTGAAACCATGAAGGCCATATAAAAAGTGATAGAAGTGGAAACGACAGACTTCAGCTAGACACGTCTGATTAGATCAGACAAACTGTCAATATCCTCTGAAACCAAGACTAACTGGTGGTAATTTAATCAAATCTTGATGGCACTAAATCCATCCTGAGTAACCTACTATTATAGATTTACAAGACAGTCTTCATAATAGCTCCCAGCAATGTCAGAGACAGTTATTCTTAAAACTTAGCAAGACTAACTTTATAATATCTTCCGGCAATATCCCAGCGATTTTAAGCTAGATCTGACATGCTTAGCTAACACAGCCAAATGGACATTCAGCTATAAGAGAGATAATATTCTGTATCAGAAAAAGTATTAGTCATTCTCTAGCCACCACACTCAGCAAATATTGAAACAATCTTGTTGAAATATTTATCTACAGTGAGGAAGACTCTGAAATATAGAATTTATAGAGGGCTTAGACAGACATGACCGGCTAATGTAACCAAATGGACATTTAGCTGTGAAACTGAGAGAATATTCTGTACAATCAGAGACAGTGTTAGCCCTGTTCTAGCAACCCATACTCAGCGAATATAAAAAGAATCTTGTCAAAATATTGATTTACAGTAATTTTTAGGGGTTAAGCTAGACATGATTGTCAATTACAACCCTGCTCTCAACCTACGCAAGAACTCTGATATAGCTGTGGCCTATGTGCGCAATCTAAAGCAGTATTAGTCATGTTCTAGCCACCCATCCTGGGTGAAAATTGAAGGATTCTATTCAGAATATTGATTTACATTAAGAATAAGACTGAAGCTAGTTTTGGTCGGGTATTATTTCATTGTAAATCATTCTCTGGGAGTTTTCAATCGAAAAATCAATTCTCTTACGCCTTCAACCTATTTATTGATGGAGAGAATCTATTTATAGCATCAGTCGGTGCCGGTTATTTAAATACCAGTATTGGTAGTCTTCCTGCTAATCAGAGACCTCAGTTCTCCAACAGCTCAAACTCCACCCCCAGGGTTTGTAACAAGGTACATCCCAAAACCACATTAAGATATTAACAGGAAATGATTCAATTGTTTTAAATTCCAGTTTTAATCATGTTTCTGATAATCAGAGACCTCAGTTCTCAAACAGGAGTTGAGTTACCCTGCCCTAGGTTTAATTTTGATTTGTATGTTCATCTTTTGCTAAATGTCCTGAAAGCCAATGAAGTTCTTGATCAGAAGAATTTCAATTGATTTAAATACCAGTATTGGCAGAATTCATGCTGATCAAGGACCTTTATTTCTCAATCTAGGGTTCAATAATACTTGAAGTGTATGAAAGATGTATCATTGGACTTAAAAATTCAGAGCTATTCATTTGACCCAAAGGACTTAAAATTGGTTAAGCTTGTGATGTTTTTTTTAGGATGAATTAAAAGCCAACATGATATCAATTTTCAAAAACACATCTATGGTCTCAAATAGTCTCTTCTAGACACCTGATACCACTTTTCACTAATTCATGATTGATATACTTCCTTATGTCAAAAGCCCATATTAGATGCTACCAATGTTTCGCCAATATGTTGTTTGGATTATGGGTTTAGTTCTGTGGTTTGGATTGTTAGTACTTGGTTTATTTATAATATTTCTGTGCCGTAATGGAGTTAAATCATAAAGCACCTGACAACAACAGATAACTAACTATCCATACAGCTAACAACTGAGCTGTTGATCTTGTTGCCATATCCCAAGAGTAATCATCTAACTTTCTCAGTCTGTATTTTATAGTATAAGACTATGTTAGATGTCAAGACTAGGTATAAATATTTTATTATTAAGAAGAATATCTTACATTGATTGTTGATGATTTACAGACAGTTAAGATGGAGTTAAAATGTTTTCTGTTCTCTGAGGGGATGAAATCTGGCACCATCAAGATCATGGTAGCTGCATAGTTTATCGATGCTTTTTCTTTTGCTCTCTGTATAAATGCTTATTTCCTGACTATGAGTTAGTGTGTTTGTGAATGGCTAGTGTGTTGTTTTATGAAAGTTGCTGAAGTCGAAGTCGCATGGCTAGTGATTTTGCAAATGTGAGATTTGTCCACAACCTAGCAATTTTGACCACAAAAAAATGGTCATCCGTTTTAGATGAATGGTGTTGCAGGTTGTCTGGCATTTAATCCATTTCCAAGAAATTCTGGTTCAAAATCTTAATCTCTGTACAAATATGTCAGCTGCATACATTCTCTGACCTCTTTATCAAGTTGTTTTCCTTCTGGAAGAAAGATTTCTTTCCATTTCACCTCTCATCTCTGGTAAGTCTGTCATTAGCTGACATGTACAAGATGAGATAGATAAGAATAAATGAAGGCTGTTGGTTTCTATGAGAACATAAAGGGCACCTGCCAATACAAAATTCTGTACAGAGATAAGAAATCTTAAACTTGTATTTATTGTAAATGGAACAAAGTAAATGCCAAGAGGTTCCACATTTAGATTAAAAATGTCTCGAAAGTTTTTTTTATTTTATTTATTCTTATGAAATATTTTGAAGAGAATAATTTGTCTGATAAGATATTAGACTTCGAGATAATGTGAAAACAAATTGCTTTTGAGGATTAAAATCACAAAGGGAAACTAAGAAAGTAAGCATTGTAAATGAAATGAAATGAATGGAGTTTTACGTCCTACTTTTCTGCACCATGTGGGCTAATGAAGACGGGCAACGCCATTCAGGGTACGATGAGGGAAATTTTGCCAGGACAGCGGCATTAGCCTGCTCTTTTTCGAGTAAGCATTGTAGTAAGCACATCCAACCTCATGCGCTGTTACGGCACAAATAAGAGCTAGGGGCTTATTTCACAAAAATCTTAGCTCTCAATGATTTTAGTGTAGTAGTTATCTAATTGGCCAATCACAAAATCAATTTTAAATTCTTGATGAGATGACTGCATTTCTTAAAATCTTTGTTTAAGTTAAGTTTCTAAAGTATGAAACTGTAACAAGAAATGCAACATTTTGTATCTCAATATGGAAGCCTATTTTGAGGATGTAAAGTTTCTTTAGCAATGAAGTTTTCCTTAATTTATCCTTCTGTAATTCAACAATCTCATTAAGGTATCTGTAAAATGTATTGAACAGTATTAATCTTTGAAAAAGACAAGATATTTTTTTCTTATTAAATATTTGTGATTGACTAAAGAGATAAACTAGAGATAGAAATAGACATTAAATATTCATTCAGATATTATCAGGTTATTTGAAAAAGAAACATTGATTGGTAAGAAATGATAATAGAGAGTAAATGTCAAAAGTTAATTGGAACGTTATCGTGTGGTATTTTCAAAATATGAGCCACATTTCAAATAGTAAATGTCATGAATCTTTTAAAGAATATTTCAAAAAGTCACTATCTTTACCTACCTCTAGTTTGGCAAACCCTATCATGGCCAAACTGCACATTATACATTCAAACATACAGTAAGTTTTGGTACATCGAATACCATCATGGGATAAAATGTCCAAGAGATATGGAACCACAAATCTTGCCAAATAAGATGCTAAATTAAAATGACACCTCAAATTCCTGTTTGTCAGCAGTGTAATAACTGATAGATATTTTACACCATTACCTTGTTATATGCTAGATAAGACCACCAACCCCGTCCTGAAAGATAATTAGGCTCAGTAAGGTTCTGAAACAAAATTAGTAGCTTGTTGTTCTGTTTATTAGAATGGTGTAATAATTGATAGTTAACACCAGTATCTTGTTATAAGTTAATAAAATAAATATTAGCCAGACAAGACCACCAACTCCATCCATAAGGAGAATTAGGTACAATAAGGTGCTGAAACAAAATTGACACATTATATTTCTGTTTATCAATACCATTAACCATGTTATGTGTTAATAGGACTGATTGAAAACTTTGTCACTGTCAGAACCATTTACTACCAGTATTCCATCATTCTATTAATACAGTCCCCAGTGGACCATGTCAACACTTTCTGTGTAATGTCAATTAATTGCAATGTTGGACTGACATTGTCACACAGTTAATTGTCAGACGCCATTTAGTGGAATTCAAGGAGTTATTTTTGATCCAAAGTTTCTGCAGGGAAACTAGTCGCTCATTACTCAATGTCCATGATTACTGAGAAAGAAAAAAAGAAACTAAATCATAATACAACTTCATGAAAGGCTAGATAACTCTCTCTCTGAAGCCAGTGGCTATGTTTTCATATTTGTTATATGTATATTTGTTATATTTTAGTGAAATAAAAACGTTAACTTTCACTCCTTTAGTAGTTATAAGACTTCTGATTTAGAATGTGCCTACTAAATCTTTTGAGGAAAGTAAACCAACAGAGCAGCCAACAATCTGTCTTCTGTGACCCAAGGCCAAGTTTCTATAATAATGGCGATCTGGTTTCATCCGAACACTATTATAGGAAGCATCACATCTGACAAATTAGATACACTCTCTCGTGACTCCCTTTCATTGTTAGAGAAACATCTGATCTCCTGACCATGTGCGTGGGTGTCTAGTACTATCTTGTCTAAAGTCAATATTCAACCAAGCATACTAATATAGAGATTTTAGTACTGGGAGATTCTGAATGAAATAACTGATAAATGGTGAAGGTTTGGAGAGGAAATGAGATTTATAGATATATGAGTCATATCAATATTATACCAGCACTGATATTATATAGGCTCTTATTCTACTCTGTATTTATGACTCTTATTACTAATTTCATCTCAGATAACATGATATCTCCTCCATATATTATACTTCAGCTATCTATTGGTAGTCCTAAACTCTACCCTCAGATACATAAGGCAGCCTTAATAAGTTACAGATATGAGTATTTGTTGCAGTCTATCATTGGGTACTGACTATTATCCATCAGCATATACTACTCTAGCTGTACATAGTTCTAATCTAAAGGGTTATTACTGTAAAAAAGATCGGAAGAACATTGAGGAAAGATAGAATACACAAGCAAATTTACATACATCTTTTTGAAACCTTCTTCACATTTCTTTCTCTCTTGTTGGTGCCTGCCTTTTTTTTCGATTCTGCATTCTATTCATTCTGAGGAAATTCAATAAATTTATGGACCTCTTTAGAAATAATTGGCTCCTTTACTTGCACAATGCATAAGGATAAGGGTTATGGACTAAATTTTTGTTAAAATTATAATAAATTGGATTAAGAAATATTAAAACAGAACTTGAAAAATGTTGTATTGTATTGAATTCATATATTTCTGTAAGGTTTGTTCATTCTGAAGAGTTATCAGTTAATTTATGGAGCATGTTAGAAATTATTGGCTCCATTACTCCTACATTAGAGTAAATATAGAGTAGAGATAAAAACTAATAATTATAACTAGTTTTCTAGTCATATTCTCTATAGATCACTCTTTAATAATTATAGTCCAAAACTCTGTACTAATGTTGATAAATCATCTCTTTAACAATTATAGTATAGTCAGAAACACTGTCCCATGATGCACCATGACTGTCTTGCTTTACTCAATGCTAAAAAAGGTTTGTGTATTTGATTCACTTGGTGATACTATCAGATAGGGAAGAGTGGTTGTAACAACAATATAAAATTGAAGTTACGAAAGCACATGCCGAGGTGAAAATTCAGCTACATCAACGTGATTTTTATAAAGTAATGAAATTCAATTATAAAGTAATACTTATTATAAATTAAATAATTCTAAAATAATAGAGTATATATATTAATGTGAATAGGGGTGAAAGCCGACACAGGGCTGACAGAGCTTCTACAGGGAGGCCAAGAGAGCCATGGCTCCCCCAGAAATGAGGCTGACCCGGCTTCTCGAACTCCAACTCCAACGTCCAGTGTTTCAGACTAACTAATATATCAATTATTGTTAAAGCCCTTCCCTTTCTCTAACTAATGGTAGAACATTGATTTTAACTGCTTCATGTAGAAAATATTTCATTCATCCATTTATAGCTTCTGTTTCTAAATATGTCAAAACTCTGGTAGTTTGAGAAATGTTTCCGTCTATTTATCAATAGTCTCTTTCCTATAGTAAAGTGCGTGAAATTTATTGACTGTTTTTTTTTCTAATGAACAGAAATAATCTGCTTAGGAAAGTATTATTCTTCGGAAACGTTGATATTCTACCAATCTTCTTTAGTAATAATAGTCCATGACCTACTTCAAGTACAGATATGATTGGTTTTACTTGGAAAATACTGAAGTTGAGTTTTGTAATAATGTACAGAGAGCAAATTACTGATAGGGCACTAAAGAAGAATAAGTACTTGCTAGAGTTTTACTTAGCTTTCCTTCAAATGCCAGTAAAGACTGTATTTTTCTTTTTTCTATTATACCCTACAGTTATATTGTGCATTTTGTTTGATATCTTTTTCATAAATGATACCTTACTAGAATAATTACCAAGAAAAAGTTAATAAGCATTGATTAGCACTGACTCTAATATCTGGATAGATGTTATTTTGAAAATATGAAAAAACTAGCTGTATATTTTGCTTAAAAATACGTTCAACCCAAAACAATTATAATATAGGAACCTATCGACAACATATTTCAAGTTCTGTTTTAATATTTGATAATACCATATAATTTCAGAGAGTGAACAGTAAGAAGGTGGATGAACAGATATTTTTTAGATTAGTGCAGTATTTCTCCGTCTGCTTATTTGAATGTAATGAAGCAGAAGATTATTCTCCCGCCAAAACTCTGATGAATATGTGTTTTACATTCTATTTACAAGGTAAGCATTTACTGTGATATAAATATCAAAATTACATTATCTAAGAATTCTGTCTGCGTTCGCTAAGTTGGACTGACCTTGCTCTCTTATGTGGGAATTTTTCGGTTTCTTACTCAGTGATGCAGGTCAGAGGGACTGACATGGGAAAATCATCTTGTATTTTGAATGAGACATTATATTGTAATCCTTTTTGATTGTTTTTTCGACACTAATCTTTTCAAATGGGATATTGCCAACATCCTTGCAAGAAATCTTTTCTATACATTATTAAAATTTTAGAGAAAATTTCTTATAATATATATCATTATCTTTTAACATCTAATGTCTTAAGATGCTTGAAGATATCACTGTATAGAGAGTTCTATTACCATCATGAAATCTTCCACAATAAATAGTTCCGGAGGCAGGTTGAGATTGTCTTTGAACCACTTAACTTTAACCCATTCCATCAAAGTATTGCGAAAATAAAACTCAGTGGGGTTGGAATAGATCTGGTAATGATGCAGTATAAAAGCAATCTTCTCATTGGCCGCGATTTAATGACACCATATTTTTTTTAATGGTGCCAATCATGTATAAGAGAGAATTAAAAAAGACTTAAAAGGAAAATTTTTTATCATTCGCAATATTACCAGGGATTAGATTTCTGCAGTTGATTTTTGTCAGGAAGATTTGTTTACAGAAAAGCTTTGATTTTTGATTAAGGAGCTCAGATTACACTGTTTACTCTGTTTAATACACATAAATTTTGATTAAATTACAGAAAGCTACCTTTGTCCTATATTATTTTGTTTCTTTGAGTTTCAGCTCCACTATTCAATATACCCTGTGTCAGAGCAAGACCTTTTGAAATAACAGATACTCTTGTAGTCTTCAGAAAGACACGGCTAACTAGCTTAGACAGGGCTGCTTACCCTTCTAGTACACTTGATTCTGCCAAGTATCATGGTTCATCAAATCAAGATACCATTTTGAGAGTCCACATAGTTTATTACTTATGAATATGATCTACTTGATATACTTAGACTGTCATCTGCTGTTTCTGATGCCCATGCCAGTGCTTTCAGGAGCCAAATTTCCACTCCACTTCTTGGTCGTATAGTTTTATTATTTTTTCAGATCAGCATCCTAATGGAGGAACATATAAACATTTTCTCTACAGCTATTTACGAGACCAACCTGTCTGGCAGTCTCTCAGATTCTGGAATGCTGCTTTCTTTGACGCAATACAAGGTGAAAGATCTCGGAAACCAGTTCCAAAGAAGTAAGTCTTTTCATATTTCCCAAATTGGAATGTTAAAGTATATTGCCCTCGCCCTGTCTGCAATTGAATGTGATACAGATTACAATTTGGTGTTATATTGTGATTTAAAGTGGTAATGTTAAGACATGTATATGATCTCTGAGAAAATTGAATTTCAAAGTTTTTTATTTGTTATTGCCAAAAATGGTTTAAGCTTGTGAACACCATATAAAGTTTTGAGTGAGTAAGATGTTTAGTTTTTCAATCAACAGAATTTGAGTTATTGCCCTTTCTTGCTCTTCTCTATTAAAGGTACAATAAATAGAAGAAGCCAACATAATATTTATGTCCCTTTTAGGTTGAACACTTGAACACGATAGAAACTACAGTTTTCATTAGATTTTCATGATACCTGGTTATGTTCTTTAATTGTACAGATTTTCAGTTATTGTCCTTTCCTTGCTCTTCTCTATTAAAGGTACAATAAATAGAAGAAGCCAACACAATGTTTGTGTCTCTTTAACGTTTGACTTGCTCTATCAAAGTCATTAACTAAAGATGAAACAGATTTGGCATCAACTCACATTGTGTGTATTTCTAGCTCTTTCCATCAATGTTTGATTCCCTCTAATGGCCATTATTGAAGCTTTTTATACTGTTAACAAGTCTAGTTGGAAATTTTGATTTAGTTTTATGTAATTAGATCACGCCTGAGGTTTAGAAAGTCTTCGGTACATTTGAACTCATGTTATGTTTAAACGTTTCTTGATATTCCAATTATTATACATACAGTATAACCTAACCTGTTAACAATAATAACAAATGCATATATTCTGCTATACTGTATACTGTAATATGTGCACTTGTTTTTAATGTTAATAGGTCGTATATTGCTGACATTTCAAAATAACCTTTTGTTTTTAGTTTTATATGTGCTTTCGTTGAACAACAATGACTGGTTAAAGTTTAATGCAACGTTTCAATTGCTAAATGCCATTCAAAGACTTCTGCCTATGTTGTGAATTCTCACTTAAATCAAATTTCCTTCTGTCAATAACTTTTTGACATCTTCCAATCATATAAAAGAGGTCAAAGATTCCGAAGAACATTAGATTACAGAGAATATGTAAATATCAAAGTTCATAGGTCAACTATTATCATAGTAAGCTGTGTCAACTATAATCTTAACAGTCAATAACTTCTATAGTTCTAATATAACTAGAGGGAAAACTCATGACAGATTTATTATCCAAACCGTTTAGCTATCAGTCATTTCATTCACATGATAACCAGGAAGGAACTTTTATTTTCCTGATACTTAGACATGGTACGAGGCCAAGTAATTTCCGTGTTATCATTTAATAGGGAGATATCATGCACAATATAATGAATTGGGTGATTAAACATTGGATGTAATATATAAGCTTATAATTGATATAATTCCATAAACCCATAAAACATACCTAGATACCATCTTCACAATGTCAAGTTACAAATACAAATAAAAATGCTTTATTTGATATAGCACGATTTAGGATAGTTATCACAAACTTGACTGCAATAGTCATCTTTCTTCTATCATGAAAGTTTGTAAATGAAGCGATTTGATTGGATTGTACGCTATCTAATACAGCCAATCAAGCCTGGACAAAAAGTATGTGATCACAAAGCCATAATGTTTACAGCCTTTCTGTTGAGGGCTCTGATTGTCTCTATTCGCTGTTGTAAAATGCAATCAAATTGCTGCATTCCATGATACAAGAATAGTGGCCATTACAGTCAAGGTATAAGATGGAAGTTCATAACAGCTTGACATTGTGAAGTAGACCTCTAACCTTTTTAAACCTACCAATTCTAACTGGGCCTTAGGGAGCATCAGTTGATAATTTGAGCAGCCTACAACAGGCTAAGAAATGAAATTACAAGAAACAATGGAACTCTGTTGGAGATTACCCAATACACCAACTACCATGTTCCATTAATGGATTTAAAACTAATGGAGTTTTCTTTTCTATTTATTACAAACAAAGTGACAAATTGAATTGAATGTAGTTCTATTATGATCAATATTAACTGCACGTTAAACCTGTTTTTTATCATTACACAACGAATTTAAAATGTTATTTATAGTTTAAAACATAAAGAGGTATAATGACATGAAATTACCGGAGAGTCTATTTATATGACAGTTAAATTACTGCAGTTCCAATTATATTATAACTAATGGACAATGATTCAATCAGTTTATAACTGATCAATAATCAATACTGATTTAGTTCAATTTAATCAGTTAGGCCCTACTCCATTACAAAAAATCTGAAAACCGGTTTGGTACATCAGATTTGTGTTGTAAATGAGTGAAACAGATTCGAAAAGCAAGACTAATTTAAAACTATAAGTGCCCTATGAATGACACCTAGCAGGCAGATTCACGGTTTCGAAATCCGGATTTGGATTCAGGGCAAATCGTTTTAAACGAGTGACACGGATTCGGAATCCAATTTCAGATTGGTTGTAAACGAGTAGGGCCTAAGTTATACAGTTGTTGTCAATCTAATAAATAAGAGGCTAAACTGAACTGTTTTTTTCATCGTTGGAGTTAGAGCATGCTGTCTTGTAAGCAGCAAAGAGGTAGCGCTATCCATGTGAAAATCAGGCAAAAGAGATCTGAGTGGATTGAAAATACAAAATAATGAAAAAGGTCACTTCTAAAGTTTGAACATTGTTTCATTTGCCTCCATTATGCTACGGCCATGAGCAGATTTATTAATAATGGTCAAATAAGTACCGACATCAAACATAAAATGTGTCTGGACAACAAGGTGTGTATAATGAAAGCAGTATGTAATGTCATGATGACCAAGACTAAAGTGATTAACTTTATAATGAAGATTATGTTATTGGTTTTGCTCATGGCAGTGCATTAATGATACAGTTATTATAGCTTGTATTGACTGTAGGATGATGAGGAAAAGATTTATTTAGCTAGTCTGGACTATTTTTATTTACTGGGTACAGACTGCACTGTGTCACGCATAATCTTATTGTGACTAGTAGTGATAAGTACTCTTGCAAGTGTCGTTAGTGATTCAAGACAGACTCATTCTACTGGAACACCTGATGCGACTCTGCGAGAGTCCAGATAGCCAATATTGTTTTATTTTTGGTATTGTATTATTCAGCAATCAAGTCCAAAAACAATACTAAATTTGAGCTCCACTAAAATATGTATAGTGTCTGGATTGGCTAGAGAGAGGCAGGAAATTGCTTACTCTACTGAAACACATGAGGCCACTATAGGACTTGGTTTGTCAACTCGGCATCCCTTTTGGAGAGTTAACATAGCATATTGTTCACATGATATATTTATTATTGGGTCAAATGCATCATTTTATTTGAGCTCTTAATATTTATATGTTTGTATCACTAGCATAGAACGACATCATACTAACTCTACTGGAACACCTGGGTTTCGCAATTCAGCATCTCTCTTATGTTGAGTTCACACACCAACTTTATTGGTATATTTATTTTCTCTGAATCAGAATTGTATTTTCTGTCATAATACCAGGAAAACGCTGTAGAAATTATCAAAGTACATTTTATTTATTTCAATATTTCTCGAATATGTTCTTGAAACAAAGGCATATTAAAAGTAATACCATTAAAAGTAAAATTTGTATCAATAAAGTAAAAATGAAAAATTGGAAAAAATATGGATAAAACAAGCTATTATAGAATGTATGTTGTCATTAAAAACTTGTTCAAACTAGTATCAATACAGTAAAAAGGAAAAAAAAAGAAAAAAAAAAGAAAAATATCGATTAAAAAAATGTGATTTAAAAAATAAAAACAATAGATGAAGGAATCTATTATTTGAAATTTTCTTTGAAGTGTTAAAATCAATGGAATAATGTATTAGGAACCATTAAAACTTGTTTACTTGCTAGTACAAAGTCTGGGTGTAACGGTTCTAGAAATAATGGAGTCTGTCATGTCTGTATAGATGTATAGAATTAGTTACTATGAATTATTCTGACACAATTTAGCATCTTAAACTAATATTCGTCTAATACATTGTATAATATATTATGGAAAGAAACAAGGAAGGTTTTCAATGATCTTGTCTAGAAGCTAGTCTTTTGACTGATCCTTTTGCCTAGATTATTTGTACGCCTACCATTAACAATCAACCCAGCTGTTAAAGGGCACAGATAATCTAGGAAAGATCAAAGCCATGAGGTTTGGCCGAGTACTAGCTGGTACATAATATGATCTGTGTGAACCTAAGTTGTTATCCTGATAAAGAATGGTTGTTTCATTACTTTCATTCTTAGCATCAGATGTTCTGGCGAATGAGAGAATGAGAATAAAATTAATGTCATCGAGAGTCTCTGAACAAATTGTAATTTTGATCAGTGGCATTTCTTCTGGGCAGCCAAAGAGAGCCATGATCACCATCCCCCCATTCTCTCAAATTTGGTATCGTCACGTTCTTAAATGTCTTCTACTGTCAGCCCCACCAAAACAATTTAGTAGTCCCTCCTACAGCCTTCTACACGATCATTAATAGAAACGACAATTTTTTACAATATTTCCAAAACATCATCTAAGGTGATTGATCTGATGTACAACATTGACTGATAGATTTTTCTGTTTTTTTAAAGAAACAAAGCGAGTAAAGAAATGTTTTCCGCTTCATTAAAAGAGATTAATTACTTTCCCTTGTTGTCAAGACAACTTTTCTCGAGTTTTTAATCAAATTTACTTTGAAGTGTAAAAATACGTTAAAATAAAAGTTAGCGTTTTCAATAGTAATTTGTTTAATCTAAATTACATCTTGAATTGTCTCTGAACATATACACCATTTATCTAGGGTGTTGAAGATGTCAATTCTCTGTTTTCAGTCATTTTCAGCAAAAATTGGGTTGGGTCTAATGAATTTTTTTGATATTATTTTGTACAGCATCTGTAATTTTATTTTAATTGTTTTGGCTTCTTTAGTTAACTTAGCAACCAATACTAATATTTTTCTTCAGTCTTAAATCTTAAATCAAGCTCCTTTTATATGGACAATTTATTTCTAGATATGATTTTATGTATAGGTCTCTACGCCTACTTCTTAACAACAAAAATACTTGATATGATCTATTTTACTTACAAAATGTCACATGATTATGTTTTCTAAAACCATTAAGTGAGCCATTTGTTAGCCAATGCTGATTGGATGAAAAAGTGGATTGGGTACTAATATCTGGAACCAATAACCCAGAGAATTGTCAAACTAGAAGGATGAGGAGCCAGAATTCAGTAACTCTCTCTTACGTAATTGCTGTCTGAAGTTTGTTATCTGCTGCAATTCATTTATCAAAATGTCAACTCAAAAGTTTTCCTGAAGCAATTTGATTTGTGATTTGAAAAGACATTTAAAAGAAAGCAGACACATTAAGTTTGAGTGGAAGGATATAAATGATCACACTGTAACTTGTTAGGTAGAATTAATGTTCTTTTCATGAATGTGTTTAAACAAATTGTATGGTTGAAGATGTTTTAGATGAAATAATTACATTTTTTGAATATTTTGACAATGTTTTTTTTATCATCATATTTGCTTGTAAATATTTAACAGAAATGTAAAAACGTTTTTTTTTTTTAGTTTGAATTCTTAGGTGTTTTGTGTTTTGGATGAGTTCATAATTGAAGATGTTTGATTAAGTCTATGAGCTAAAGATATTAATCCAATGGTTGACTACAGTTTTAATCATATCTCGATAATGCTTTAATGTATTTTTTAAATTGCTTTCAGATTTCCCTCCTAGAACATACTTATAACTGATGATTGTAGTAAATCATTTAACATAGAGCTCTTTTCTTAAAGTGTTAAATATGATGTTTGTAGTAAATCATTTAACATAGAGCTCTTTTCTTAAAGTGTTAAATATGATGTTTGTAGTAAATCATTTAACATAGAGCTCTTTTCTTAAAGTGTTAAATATGATGTTTGTAGTAAATCATTTAACATAGAGCTCTTTTCTTAAAGTATTAAATATGATGTTTGTAGTAAATCTTGTAATATATCTATTTTTAGTAATGAAGAAACAGATATAAGAAGTGATGATAAGCAGTTTCAAGAAAATATTACTTTTGGACAATTAGGGTAAGTAAAAATAAACACTTCACCAAAAAGAAACATCCATAGTTTGAAGGATAACAACAGAGGTTCTTGAGGATTTTTTTCACTTGCTTATCCTTGACAAAAGGCATCCGTTTTTTCAAAATTAACTGAATCAACCTGGAAAGGAAAGACTACATATAGGTCTTGAAATTTGTTTCGTGCTTAATATGAACCCCTTTTCGAAAAATCCATGATAAGAAATCACTAAGCATAGATGTTTCCAAATAGAAAGCTATTACATGGAAATATCCCTGATATTGTCAGAGAAACAAGGTAATTGTTCTATCAGTATCAAGAGTTCTCAGGAGGATAATATGTTTGACCCAGTCCCTTTACTATTGATTTGCGAGCAGTAACATATTCAACCTAACATACGGTAATGGAAGGTCATTAGATGAAAATAGCCAATAGTTTTCAGAGAAACATGGCAAGGGGGTTATCATTAACAACAAAGTTTGATAAATAAAATACTATTGATTTGAAAATAGCAGTAAGATGAGGTAGAAAAGGAGAATTAAAGATTTGATATAAAACAGTTGTATTTAACTATCATGAAGAAAGGTTAATCTCATTCTTATTGAGCAATTTATTTCCCATCCTGTCAGTAATTTTCATTGCATCTTGTTTCCTGCTGGTTGGACTGACATGGGGAAGGCTGTAGCTCAGTAATTTAGAGTGCTGTCTCATGATGTCATAGGCTGTATTGTCAGTAGTAGCTAAATTGATGCCAGTACTTGAGATTATTTTCTTCCTTGTTCTCAGCTATTGTTGGAAATACCATTACCAGGACGTTTGGCTCAAGACCAGCTGATAGATTGGATCCTCGGGGGTTTTATTCAATACTTCCTCTACTATGATTTTATTGTTCATGTCATCTGACAAGTCCATGACTAAAATTGATTTTTAAATAAAGTTTTATTATCCAATCAGATTGTTGTATTGATTAAAACCTGGATTTTATCGTCGTTAAGTTTTCGAGAAAAAGGTCCCTGAACTAAACATGTATTCATGACTTCTCTCTTTCACTTGAGTTTAGAATATTTAACTTCTATTGATAGACTGGTATTAGACTTGTCATTGAACAAATCAAATGGTTTATCTACACATAATGCCGCAAGCTAGAAATATTCCATTCAGTTGTCTCTTATTGATAAATGGAATTACAATGATAGAATATATTTCACACTTTCGAGGATTTTATAATACCTGAATTTTGCTTTCTTATTCATTTGTATGATCCTATTTTCTTGTTGGTTTCATTCTGCTATCATTGATTCCAAAACAAAATGAACCGAGACTTGTCGGCATCTTAGATCCATTGAAGTAGTTGAAGATTTTTCAAGTGCGATAGAAACTGGTATTGTTACGCATATATAAATATATCGGGTGTCCCTTAGTGCGATGGGTAGTATCTTAGCTGTTGTTAACCCCGTCTTGATGGCATCTTGGAATGGAAAAAACGTTTGCTATTGGTGGTCAAAGAAGATGGAGGTCATATTGACACAAGTTGAAATAGTGATATTGTATTTTTTGACATGCTATTTCATTCGGGGCAGTACTTGTACAATTTTTATTCGATGACATTCATATTTTTAGGGATTGATAATGACATCTGGAAGTATATCTGTGAGAATTTTGAAAGAGATCAGTTGACCAACAGCTGAGATACTACCCGTTGAACTTTGGGATATTTTTTTTGGGGACACCCGATATAAATAACTTGTTATTAAGACATTTTGAAACTGAAAAATAGTACAGAATTTACCTCATTGCATACTGCTTTGAATCATTGTTGTTATGGGCTGGAGAGCGAAAGTCTATAAGATGTAAAACTCCATGTCATTTCAACCAAACTGAAAAGTGCACAATGCGAAGTGTATAAAAAGAGTATAGTAAGAGTCAGATAGAAAGCTGATTATAAGGAATAGTTGAAGAATATTGATTATTCCTTAGTTTAAACATGTATTTTAAATCCTTTAAACATCGTTAGTAATAATACCTAGTAATTCTACTGGAATATCATTAAAGATCCATCTTCTTTTGATTATTTTGTGAATTTATTTTAACTCTGATTAGGCCCTGTACATATTGTTATCAAGTTTAGATTGGTATAAATCTTTACTAAAAGAACACTTCTCTTCAGTCAGTGAATTAAACTTCATCACAATAGTCAAAAAACTGATATTTCATTTAAGTCCAAACTACTTTTCTGAGCAGATTTATCCTATAAATTTATTGCCATCTTCTTTAAACCAAACTCCCTTATCAATTATCCTCAGTCTCTTATATCAGGTTAACCTCTTACTAAAGTTAAACACGGTAGAAATATTTATACTCTCATTAATAGAATTATGATAGAATACTGCCCTAAAGGAGAAAAGATTGGATAAACATGATCAATAATTTAGATTTTATCTATTTGTTTAGAACTTAATTAGATCTACTTAATGGAAATTTACTGTAAATTTCATGAATACTCTAAGGACTGGTTGAGTATGTCTACATTGAATTCACAATTTTCTTTCCATATTACATGTAAACCAACTTACAATTTGTACTCTTGTCTTCCTTCTTACATGTAATGTGCAGTTAAATGCTAGATGTATTGCATGTTTTTAGGATTCCAAAACTATGGGACTTGTTTTATTTCAATATTTTCCTGGTACATTATTTCATCGAAAACAATTTTCACTGCTCGTTCTTTCATGTTATGTGAGGGTTCTGTCTTATGATATAAACTGGACAAGTTTGAAAAGCAAGACTTTACTGAATTTTTTAAACTGTGCAACATGTGCTCTTTTGAACATTTGTTATTCCAGTTTGCCAGAAACAAAGGGTCACCAAATGAGACTAAAGGGGTGTTTGAATGAATTTAGATTAAAAACAATATACAAAACCTCTAATGTTTGGTTGTCATTTAAAAAGAAATTGCCGCCATTACCCTACAGTCAGACTTGCTAGATAGTAACCTAGGACAGTAGATTGACAAGTTTGAAATTGAAAGATTTAGTATGTAAGAAGGTATGTCTATTGTGATGGATTTATTCCAATGTGTTTAATTCCTATCTATTGTCTATTACAGAACATTTACATGTAATATGAGAGCATTTGGTTTGAGCCGTGAATTATGTATGGAGTTTCTAAGGAAACAGGCTATCATTGCCAATCTTAATAAAGGTGAGAGTGAGGGTTGAATCTTTAAGAATATTCTATTAGATGATTTAGATAGAGAATCTTTCTTTCTTATATTCAACTGCATAAACGAATTGTCTTAAAGGGGAACAGTCGGCAATTATGGGGATTGATTTGGGTCTTTATTTCACATAATTAGAGTTAGGCCATTTTTAATTACTAGTAGTTAGATTCATGAAGACTGCTTAAGGATAGTTACAAGATTTGAAGGTCACAAACGCTTGATGCAATTTTATTCAGAGAAGGATGTCAATTCACTAGACAATTGTAGACCTAGAATAACAAATTGATGCTTAATTAATTAGAGATTAATGAGTTGATAACGAGAATCCATCAATTAATGATATTAAGTTTGACCTTGATGGTTGATATGTAAATATAGCAATGTAAATAATAGATGTATGATAGGGGAAATCTGCTGTAGTTACAATGATAATGCAATTAATTCTATTATAAACAATTAATATATTACTTTGAGTATATAAGTCATCGATATTGATATTATGTCATGATTATTGATATTATGTCATGATTATCGATATTATGTCATGATTATTGATGTTATGTCATGATTATCAATATTATGTCATGATTATCAATATTATGTCATGATTATCGATATTATGTCATGATTATTGATATTATGTCATGATTACTGATATTATGTCATGATTACCGGTATTTTGTCATGATTACCGATATTATGTCATGATTACCGATATTATGTCATGATTATTGATATTATGTCATGATTATTGATATTATGTCATGATTATCGATGTTATGTCATGATTATCGATATTATGTCATGATTATCGATATTATGTCATGATTATCGATATTATGTCATGATTATTGATATTATGTCATGATTATCGATATTATGTCATGATTACCGATATTATGTCATGATTCTTGTTATTAAAATTTTGTCATGATTATCGATATTTTGTCATGATTATCGATATTTTGTCATGATTATCGATATTTTATCATGATTATTGATATGATGTCATGTCTATCATAGTCAAGTCAAGATATTTGTACAGTCCACTTATTTTTAGGTGGAAAAAAAATGTAATTGTAACATTACAGAAATGAAATAATTGGAGTTTGACATCCTACTTTTCTGCACTATGTGGCCTGATTTAGAAGTTAGGCCATACAGGGTGCACATGGCTCCTTAAAACATTGAATAATCATAGGGTTTTATTTTTTTTTTAGAGATAATGCAATAGTCTTACTATTATACCAATTGTATAATAATTATATATAATATTATGGGATGGAGGATAAAATATTTGTATATAATGATGACATTCCATGACCAATAGAACTATGGTCAAGCAAAGATATTTGTGCACTCTGGTATGATTCAAAACATATATATTAGCAGTTGATATAGTTTTATTGAGGTTAAATACATGAATACCATACAAGTCTGAATGGGATTGTTCTGTGAATATGGTATTTACACTATCTTAGAATAAAGTGGACAGTTATGCCTCCCTTGACAATACTGTGGCCCCTCTAGGACCCTCAACCTAATGAATCATTGATTTTACCATATATACATGTAGGCTATGTTTTGAATAGTCACCAGACATCCACCAATATCTGTACTTGACTATAGTAATAAATAATTGGTTATATTTATAATTTATTGTTAGTGAGATGATAATGATAGAATCATTATGTGATATATATAACTTCAACATGATTTCATATACTTCATTATATATTCATGTATATTTATTAGGCTAGAATCAAAACAGTTAGAATTCAAAATAGTATGCCCATTCAAAGTTAACAAACTTAATGTATTGCTATTGTATAAAATTATAATTGGACGTATGTGTTAGTTCTATCATGTATCATGGGTGGAGCTTGATTAGAGAGTTCCCGACAGGTTCTGTTCCAATTCTCCACCATATTGAATTCTGTCTGCACCTACTTTCTATTCGGCAAACGTGCAACACGTTCTGAACTCCGTTCCAACTTGTTTTATTGAATGTTCTGTTGATAGCAAAAATTCCGAATGTGCAGAAGTTATCATTCAAGTGGCCCCTTTAAAGTCAGAAGAAACTCAAACGTGCACATTCTTTGTACAGCAATGACGAGTATTCATCCGTCAATAAATGGGCATTATTTTAACACACATCACTTATGAGGAAAAATCAAGTAAAATATCTAGTGAAGATTTGAATTATATAAATTGAAAGTAGCCTTGATATGTATTTTATTATAATAGGTAGGCTATATTAGACATCATTGTTGATATATTTATTATCTGTATATACTGGTATTTATTATTAATAGGAGTTATGTTTAATCCATGCTGCAGTCGATTCCATGAAATATTGCTCATTCTATGAATTCACTTGAAACAAAATTCATTTGGCGTTAGTATTGAATGACTTTTTGTAAAATAAAAAAAGGCCATTTTGAAATCACAGGGGCAGTACACTTTTCCATGGTGAAAATGGGCATTGCAATGTTCCCTCAAAACTGTTTTTGAAATTTACTGAGAGCATCTCTATTTTCATTTATTAACATTAGTAGCATTGCAATCAAGCTATGACTTTTGCTATCAACTGCAGCATGAATTATTCAAATTATAATTTTCAAATGAAGTGTTGGAACTTCATGTACTAGTTATGCTAGTAGGAGAGTAGTATTATAGGAGTCACAATACACCATGTTAATATATATATTATACTCATATTCACTGCCAAAAGAGAATTAAAATTCTTAATTAATTAGATTTATTAGCTTAATACTTGTAAATTTTGTTACATTCCAGTCAGCTATTCTCAGATATTTCACCATACTTCAAAATTTTACTTTACCTCTGCAACTCACTTCAACATATAATTTATATTATATCTTCTTATTCCATTTTCAACATCAAAATTCTGATTAAGAAGCAGCATTGCATGCATCACCTAAACACTCATTTTGATGTATTGTAAGCTCAAGTATCATTATATTTGTATCTGTTTTAATTAAGAGTAGAAAATAAATTAGTCATCTTTTATGTAAATTTCATGACTTTTGAGTATCACATCATAATCTTAATGCTACGTCTAGGGGTAGAAATCACTTTAAATTTCAGAACACAGTATAATGGTATTCAACTTTGAGTTTTATTGTAGACAACGTTTCAACAATTTACATTATTATCAGTAGTATGATCATGTTCAATTATCTTTTATATAGCAAGTAGAAGGTTTCTTTAACTAGATATATTTGCTGAGATAATTGTATTAAACTAATATATTCTACTGTGAAATATAGTGTATGAGTAGAGAATTGTATTATTATAAACTGCTTTAATATGGTAGAATCAGGAAATAAATCATTTAGTTAATATTATTAGACCTTTTCCTTCTTTATATATCAGGAGAAGTGGTGGCTTAGAGAATTAGACATTGCTCACTAATCTCAATGTTCAGGGTTCAATCGAGTTCACTTTTTCAACCTAGTTCCCAATTCAGTGATGTAGGTCGGAGAAGGTTACATGACAAAAGGGGTTGATACTAGCTATGCATGTTAGACTTGTGCTTCTGACCTGGCAAAATTTTTCCATCATTGCACACTGCATGGTGTTGTCTGTCTTTATTTGTCAAAAGAAATTGTTTGTTTACCAATTTCATGGGAAATTTCAGTGGCATTTGATTGGTGAGTTCTAAACAGGTTTCGTTCCGTGCAAAACTTAACAATTGAGCGGTCCACAGATTGGGGGGTTAAAAATGTATGTTGAAACCACTTGTTGTCTCTAGATCACAGGAAAATATTGATTGATAATTATTTTTATTGCATATTATATATATTCTAGAATAAATATATAACACATCAGTAACTAAGAAAGCACTATATCACAAATTTACATACCATAATCGTTATCAGGCAAAATATTAACATTTCTGTATCAATCATAGAGTTTGCTGTCATCTTTCTATTTTCAAGTAAAGCCAAGAATACCTTCATAAACTTCTATATTTCCCTTTTGACCTTTGGATTTTTGAAAAAATTTAATTCAAGTTGTCCAGATATCCATTAATAAAAAGTCATTTATGGTTGCCAGTTGGACATGAATGATAAACAAATATATTGCTTAATTCTAATTTCATAAATACTTCTTAACTTCCTATAAAATATGCAATGCCTAAAAGTTATCTAGGATATACAATTAACTATGAATTCATTGCAAAATTTATTATTACTTTATAACACTAGTGCTCAAACCTTTTCTATTTCACAAAACAATGTCTGATTTTTTTTACACAAAATTTCATGATATAGTTTTTTCTCTCTTCAAATTTGATTGGTTTTAAAATGAATTTACCTGAGAATCATTAGAGATAATTTCATAGCTTAATCTTAATATCTAGGACATTTCAGAAAACAAAGATTTCTTATAAAACAAATCATTCCTCCATAATTTTTTTAAACTAAATCTCTAATATCATGACATTCTCTGCAGAATTAATGTCTAAGGCAAAGGCAAAATCAAAACAAAAGGGCCATATAGTTAATATTTAGAGATCAGAGAAAATTTACTTTCTACTCTTCAATACAACAAATCCTTAGCCAAGGTGGGCTAACAATTCAAGGGAAATAACTATATTTAAGGTGATATGTTACTTCACATTTACATACAAATTCAATCATTTTATTGTTGTAGTTCACTATGCCACACATCATGTTGGCTCTAGCTGATAACATGATCTGTTATTGCAAAAGAAAGTCTTTTCACTACCAAATTTTAGACATCAAACTTTCATTAAAACCAGCCGATTGATTTACTTTTCTTATCTTCTTCCTTGTACTCTTCTTCTGTTTCAAGATAAATATCTCGGTCATAACCTTCTCCTATATCAGCCTCTCGTGCTCGGGCAACGATAGTCTGAGGTGACAGGGGCAGATAACTCAATGCTGAATGAATGGACTGGACATGGAGTTTATCTCCCCTTTCATGAAGTAAACCAAACTGTTTTAATAATGTGATAGCCTCTGTTGAATCAAATTCTAGTTTTACACCAGTTGTGGTCTCAATCCAATTTTCTACCATCTTTTCCAATTGTAATGTAGTTAGTCCACCTGAAATTATTTCGAATTATATTTTACAAATAGCCTTATGATTTGAATGTGATTGATCAGCACAAGCTTGAAATATATAGAGAGCGTAACTGGAATAGTGAGTTCTGTTTATTAGGTAAATAATTACCATGAAGTGTGCATTGTGGTGAATTATGACAGAGCACTGGTAGCAATAAGTTTTTAAACCTTTAATTAATTACATAGAGGCTCAGACTTTCTTCCATACAATTATCCACTCGGACATACATCAACTAAGTTTGAAATGTCAAATTTGGGGAATTTTTTTTATCAACCAACAATATTCAAGTGTCTAATAATAAATCACTCACCAAGATATATTCAAGTATCTATAATAATAAATCACTCACCAAGATCTGCAGAACTTTGAAGTTTGCTTTCTCTAAGGTTAGTAAGTGCTGATCTTTGTGTTAGTAAGAAAGTATAGGTCAGTAAGGCTTCCTTAAAACTCTCATCTTCTGCTCTATCTACTAGTAATGTCAGCAATCCTCTGTTATTGGCTATATTTTTAAAATATAAAGTCCTAGATACATCCACTAAATAAGCATTTCTACGATTTTTATACACAGTCCACGATCGTACACCAATCGTTCCCATTACAGCAGTAAAAATTAACATCCAATCAACATTTAAATCAGCTAAAACAGTGACTAATTTAGCTATAATGCCTACCCCGGCGATTACTCCAGACGTTACTAGGATACCTTTATCAGTAGTGTTCATTTTAATAGTTCCATCTGGTAATAACATTTCTAACGCATTAACTGGAACTTCTTTGAATGCTTTTAACATTAATTTCATGTCCTTTTTCAACCGTATAGCCACGACAACTCTTTTATAATATTCTAGAGGTCTCCTCGGAGGTTGACGTAGAATTTTACTGCGTAATTTTTCCATGAAACTGATCTCCTTCTCAGGTTTCTCTTTTCCTAATGCCCAGTATCTTAAAACATCATATTTAGTTGGGTTGACACTGACCTATAATAGATATTAAATTGATATTTTAAATTAGGTTGAAAAATATGTAAAAATTCATGTCATTGCAGCCTTTACAGACATTATTATCATGTCCTAGGCAGTTTAGAAAAGTTGTTTCTAAGATTTTTAAGGTGAATTGATATGTATTCTTCAAATTAATTTCTTAAAAGAAACAAGTCTTCAATCACATGGTCCAATAGTTAATAGTTGTGTTACTTAGTAAATTTTGGAATGGTGCGAATCAATGCAATCAGCGTCCCCAATACACATAAAAAGTTTAGCAAACCTCCTTACAATCCCTTCAATTAAATAAAAAGAAGTAAAATATGAATTCATACCCGGACACCTTCCCTAGCTTCATGTTCAGCTAGACTCCATTTTACTGTACTGTCGGATAGTTCATGAAAGTTGGCCTTCTCCATTATATCAGCCAGTTTCTCTAACAACCAAAATTCATTATCTAGCTTCTCTCTACGAGACAGTGTTCTCGTTTTGATGGTATCTTTATCTGGATTGATTGGGTCAAACAGATTCTAGAAATAGGAAGGAAGGCAATAGGCTCTGTTATCAGATATCATTCAAAAACAGGTTTAGAAATAGGCATAAATAGTCTTTGAGGAAGGACTACATTCAAATAATTATACACAATTAGCTGAATTCACTTGTCCATTACTATAAAGAGACAGATTCGACAACTTTCAGTTTTATTGAAGAAGAACTTATCATTCCCTTCCTACCTTTAATTCTTGAAGAATTCCATGATATTTGTTAACAATAGCACTATCTAAAGCCAGTGCTAAATCTGTAAATTTCCTTTTCTCCTCGTCATTTAGAAACTGTTCTTTTTCTACCAGACGTCTGATTATAGAACGCCTTGTTATAGGAATATATCTTTCTCTACAAAACATATTAATAAAATAAATTTATTTTACAAGTGATTATAAGAATGGACTTGGTAGTCTTGGTGAAAGTAAGTCAGTTTACCAAGTTCAAACACATCTTAAGTACGGTAATTTTTATAGTCAAAGAGAATTTATGAATCATTTGAAACTTACTACAAGAGACCAAAAACGACAATAAACTTCTACTATCATTACTATCAATTGCATATAATAGCAAACTTTGTATAAAAACTACAAAATAGGTGGTCCAACTTAATCAGCAAGTGACAGCCTGTCACAGGACATTTTACATACCTAATATACTTGTACTTTGTACCTATTAATATATTATATTAATCTGCATATAGTTTAACCTAGAGTCATCAAATATTGATACCATATTCAGCATTATCTTATTCAAAATATATAACTTTCTTACTTGTATAAATCTTCTTCATTAGGCAGATTTTCTTCTGGTGCCACGACAACTCCACCATCTTCATTCTTCTTTAAATGTTTATCTGTAGGTTTAACGTCAACTACAGTTGATAGACATCTTGTTCTTCCTATATAGCTAGGTTCTAATAATATTTTCTCTAAATATCCTCCCTTCACTCCTAATCTACCATAATTCTACAAAATAAGTAGTTTACCTCTACATCAATATATATTTCAACTCATATCACACCTTCATATTGAAGCAAGTACTTTCATCTAAGTCACTGAATATAGCAGACTGCAGCAATTACACTTTATTGAATATCATTACAAGGAATTTACCTGGCACATGGAGTTAAAAGCTAAGCTTCTGTGGGGAAACCACTTGGGTGGAAAATGAAAAGGGAGGAAATCACTAGGGGAGGAATTTGTAAAGCAGGGGGGAAACCACTGTAGTGTAAGCCTCTAGTACGCTTACCCCTCTAAAACTAAGTGGCATGCTTTACTATCTTATTATTAATAAGCCTATCAGAGTGAACAGTTTGATCAATACTTTAGTAAAGATACTCTCTGCCTGTATATAGTCATAATAATACTGTCAGTGTCACTGCCTGTCAGTGATATGATCATTATGATTGGTATGACATAGGCCTAAACCGGCTCCGTTTGTAAAGTGAATGGCCAAATTTTGGAGCATGAGGGCGGGGTAATTTTTGTCAAGGTCAAGCCAGAAGACTAATGGTACATGTCATTACCCTTTTCGAAACAGATTCTATGGACAATCTGAATAAACTCCCTGCTTTTCTTCTGAGCAAGGAAGCTGCCATCCTGAAGATCAAGGGCACTGCATCCACAACCACAACTAAAGTCGACGTTATCCAGTCATATTTGTACAGCTGGATAATCGAAATAAGGTTCCGTGCAAATTAAAAAATAAAACCGAATAATTGATATTTATCCCTTTTATAATTGAAGTTTTGATTTATGTTATATTCATTTTTATTCTCAAAAATTTCGAAAAGTTACCGCATGGGTATGAGCTTGAGTGCACCTTGAAGGTGTGAATGTTTATTCGTTTTCTTTCCGCAGACGTCATTGTACTTGACAACAATTTGTAAACAACATGGCTGCCAAAATTTGTAAAAAAATGTAAAATAACGAAAATTTTAATTTGTATGCTTTTGGAACTTTCCCATACTTTTACTTTTTTGGACATAGTTTGGAGTAGAAATATCTAAAGGTAATTTCACATTTAATTGGAGTCTGGGACAGCTAATAGAAATATAACTTTGTTTTGATTTCTTCAAACTGACTGGCAGTGGTTATCTTTTAATTTTATCGGTCATCTCTAATGTATTTTCTATGGGGACATTTTTCTGTGTTCAGCAGTGTGATCTTTGATCTTTCAATATAAAACTATGTGACCTTTGTTTACCACATATTAAACTCAAGCAATAATTACTATTCCTTAATTGACTTAAAATTCATATGTAAGCTTATGCAGACTAGGCCTGAGGTAATATAATGTTGCTTTTCTCATTTTCAGTATGCCACCATGCCTAGTACCTCATCAAATTTAAAAGATAACACTACCCTTGTGAATAATAACACCACCACTGGCCTGTTACAAACTATACAAGTTTTAAAACAAGATCTCAACCACACACGAGATGAAAAAAATCAAATAGCTAATCAACTGTCATGTCTTATTTCACTTGTTAAAAGGTAAATACAAGTTATTATCCTGTGCTATCTATATTGAAATTTGTCAAAGAAGCAGTCATATATTCTCTATTCTGCTGTCTTTGAAGCTAAATAAGCAATGTTAATGAACAGTGTAATCTTATGAAACTTTCGTTGAAACGGAATTGAAATTATTCAAAAAGTCTGTCATATAACTTGATGCTTTTAAGAGCCAAAAAAATCTGTTTTAGAACTTATGAAATAACATTGTAATTATATTTTATTTGATATGATTTGTATATTGTAGATCATGGATGGGTGATAATGTAGCTCTGTTTCATGTAGCAAACATCATAGGTAAGCCATAAGTTCTCTTAATTTAAATGTTCTTTCATATTAAATAATATAGGTAAATCAGTAGTTTTAAATGGAAGATAAACCTCAACTCAGTTAGTTCAATGATACATGAGAATGATTATTGAACTGACTGATCCATTTAATTCATTGAGTGGCATTGATTAACTAAATTGGTGATTACAATTGTCAATTAAAAATTTTAAAGCAATTAGTACATTAAGCTTCTATTTCGATTGATAGCAGTATTAAGAGATACAGTGAATTTCATTTCTTCCATTTTATTTGTAGGAATGCCAGTCCCAGCTGAAGCACAAGAAATTGAAGATCAAAACAACCCACAGGTATGTGTTATTACTGCTGATTTGACTGAGATCCAAAATGTCAAGTGGACCTAGCTGTAGATTTTAAACTTTTTATTAATGGATATAAATTAAATATCTGCACATTTGAAAAGATTAAGTTGATTCTTCCAAATGGTGCCCTGAATAGTTTTTTCATTATTAGCTGTATAAAGAGCAGAAAAGCTACTAGTCCTGTGTTTATTTAAAGTGTTATTATTGTTGATTGTAGACTAGAGCCAAGATGAATTGGGAGAGACTGTCATTACGTTTATTAGATAGAGAATATCAGGCAGTACAAGAAGAAATAAAAGAACGTCAACAACATTATATAAACTATAGAGAGGTCTACATGGATGAAATACTCAACTCTCATCAAGAACAGATGGCTCAGTTAACTCTACATAAAAACTCCACCAATTCTTTACAAAATGTAGATAAACAATTTATGAAAAGTTTTAAGGTATGTTAATAATATATATGTAAAAAAAGCATCAGCATTCAACATGCAATTTTAGCACAAAAAAAAATGTTTGCATTGTTCTGAAGAGTATTTCTTATTTTTAAGCAGTTAAAACAATCTCAATTTTGAGTTATTAGCCTTCTTCCACAGGTTGGAATCTTAATCATCACATGGAATTACCTAACCAATAATATTTAATAGGAAAATACTCTTTTAATCCTATGCATTTAGTGTATGAACATTCCTAATATAATTTCAGCCTAACAGTCGACCACCAACAGGTAAAATAAGGAAATGTCCATCAGCAGCTAAAAGACCAGGTAAAATAGCAGAAGATATTGTTGATAAAGTTGATATTGGACTGGGTAATTTATTATTTACTGGTAATCCTGAATCAGTGTCTCGTCAACAAAACACAGCAGACTATCATGTGAGTTATATTACCTTTATTTAGGTGCTATTATTCTAATGTGCCAGATGACGTTGGGAGAAAGGGTTGAAATGTTGCATAAATCTTTAAGAGTGATAGTTGACACGTGTTTATGATAAACAATCATCATCAGGACATGTTCATTGGAAACAGGGGTTAATTTAACAAAATTGGACATTAGGCATATATAACTGAACAGAGACTATTTTCTAGATTAATATTTTATCCATATTTAAATTTTGAAAAGTGTTAAAGGTAGCTAAACCTGAGTTCTGTCATCTGATAAAACAGATATTGATAGAACTATTTAAAAGAGAAATACCAGACTTAATTTTTGTTTTCAGAAAAGAGGATCAATAAGTGAATGTATCCAGAATGAAGAGAAATCTAATGGACAATATGATGATTCTCAAAGATATTCTAAAGTAAGTTTCATATCTATCATGATATTATTGATTCTAATCGAAACACAACCCCCCATTTCCAAAACCTAGTAATCCTCATTAATATCTGTAACATGTGTTGTCAGCAGGAAACGAGCCCTAGTCCAATAAAAGATGGGATTTATTTTACAAATTCTTACTAAATTTTATGTTTAATTCAAGTAAGTTTTTTTGTTATTTTCAGACCAATCTGTTTGACACTAAAGATGCTTTTGGTTCCAAAGCTTTCCAGAAGAAAAAACGTCCATGTAGTGCTAGTGAACTTCGTGAGAAAGACAAGCTACGTTCCAGACCTAAAAGTGCAATAACAGGTAGGTGGCTTTATTTAGATGGATAAAAGAATTTGTAGTTCTCTCAAGAACTTTTGATTGAATTTTGCAGCAATTAGATATCACTAGTTTCATCATGAAGCCAATGTGTTTTGACTTGGAAATATTGATATGATGTTAAATAATATTACTATATAATAATAAAGCAGAAAGTTGCTATTAAATTTTTTCTTTGATCTTTATTTAGGATTAAAGTCTGGTAAAAGTGAGCGTTCAATAAAATATGAAGTAACCAGACCTGTTTCGGGGAAACCTAGTGCTAAAACAACCCCTGATAGACGAGGTTCTCTACAGGACACTAGACAGAACAGAAACAGCATTGCTGACGAATCCTTGCTCATTCAACAAGAAAAAGCCAAATCTGAACTGAAATCCAGAATCAAATCAGCTACTCAAAGACCACGAGATATAGATACTTTCGCAGAGGAAGTAAAGACCATTAATGACATGGAAAATAGATTTAAACAGAATGCTGTTGATTTACAGAAAAAATTGGGTATTAATAGAGGCATGATATATTAAAATGCTGTAAAGGTTTTAATTCTTAGGGTTGAAGGACCTGAACTTTACGGTTATGGGTAAAATTAAATGTGTGCAAATTAGTATTGTTTTATATGTAGAATTGCCTTTTAAAAAAATGCTTTATGAATTAACATAACATTATGCTATTTCATATCTAAAAGCATAGCATAACTTCGATTTTATCAGATTGTAAAAGCAGGAATATGATTTTTTTAAAAAGTTTTTACCCAATTTTAAAATAATACTCGAATAGTCAAAAAAAAATTGTTTTGAAACGTTTGTAGTGGGTGATGGGGTAAACAGCATGCTTTATATGGATATATTGCCATTGCAGCATTATTTTTTAGCTAACCGTCCATAAATGTAGTGATGATTTATTTTATTAAGAATTCATTATCATCTAATTGCCAAAAACACTTTTGAAGATTGCCAAAAGGTCAATGGGGTAAATTTTTTTGAAATATTTGTGATTTTCACCAAAGGTTTCCCATTCTGTAATTGATCGCTGGTGAAAGGTGCTAAATGGAAAACCGTACTCCCCTTAATAAAGTGTTTGTTATTTATGTGGTTGTTGTTTTGTAAATTGTTATGTATTTATTTACCCGTCCATTATCCAATAAAAGCTAGCTGAAATCATTGACTTTTATTGTATGAAACACATTGATGAAAATGCCAAAAATGTTTTAGTAATGACAGTGGACAGTATTAGAAGCTAAGTTGTGATTGCCTAAATGCTTAGTGTGGTTTTCTACACCAATATCTCTCTTTTACTGGAAATACTGTTTGCACCAATGACCATCTGATGTGCTCCCTTGTCCTTGACAGCACATGTTTGTTTATAAAATACTGACAACAAATAATAGTCCTTGTATAATACACTGAGCGTTTTGACAGCATAATTATGTATGTCCCTGTTAAATTGTGTCAAAATAATAAATAAGTGACCAAAATAAAATAACATGCTACCTTTACTATGCTTTATTTATTTATAATAAAAACAATTACAGGAGTTCTAACAACAGAATGCAAACTAGGATTTATAAGTTAAATAAATATCAGCACTGTTTTATATTTGTTATATGCTATATAATGTATCAGTGATACAGTAACAATTACTTATTCAATTTCTTTTTTAAAAAGTTTGACGAATATAAAAAGTTACGATACAAAAACAATAATGGTGAATGTTCACTGTGAATATAATCAGGAACTTCACTATATAAACAACTATAATGTTATACATTTGATGTATGGAATTATGACCAAGTCCAAGTTTATAAGGAGTATAGCAAGACTGATGAAGAGAAGACTATCTCAGAATAAAGAACCTGTAATATAAATAGCTAATGTTTCAATCAGTCCCAGATTATACAAAGGAACATGACCAGTTTCCAAGACTGGCAGCTCTAATATAAGCCAGTTTAGAATGAAAGAAATGTTGAAAGCTTTTTGTATGAAAGGAGTTAAAAAATATAAGTTACAACAAACATAAATATATCCATTTTGCATATAAAATGCAATTTCCTAAATCAGATGCATTTTGAAATATTCATTTCAAGACCATTTTATTTCATTAGACCAACAAGGTTTAGAACACTTCTAATAATGTGCAGAACAGTAACACACAGCACTTCATTTCATTTCAATAATCCAATAGAACATTTAACTCCACTTCTAACTTTGTGAACTCCACTTCTAACTTTGTGAACTCCACTTCTAACTTTGTGATCTCCACTTCTAACTTTGTGATCTCCACTTCTAACTTTGTGACAAACATTGAGACAAAAAATCATTTCATTTCAGTACCTCAAAGGCACTATACAATAAATTGTACAAGATATACAAATCATTTTGGAATTATCTAATAGGTATAAAGTAATCAGATTATTGTTGTCGATAAGGAAAGTTATCACATTGTTTATTGAATAATAAAAGGAGAATCAATGCCTGAGAAACCAGCACACACCCCACCTTCATTTGTATCAGCTGTTTTAGTTCGTAATAAATGCCCACATACTGTATTATATAACTCTTCTTTTTCATTGCTGAAATATTACATTGAACATCATAAAGAGCATGATCATGAAAAAAGCTGATGATGATAATACTGATTAATATTGATGATAATAATACAGATGAATAATAATAATAATAATAATGATGAAGATAATGGGGATAATAATAATAATAATAGCAATGTTGAGGATGATAAAGAATGAATAATGATGATAATAATACAGATGAATAATAATAATAATAATAATAATGAAGATAATGGGGATAATAATGATAATAATAGTAATGTTGAGGATGATAATGAATGAATAATGATGATAATAATACAGATGATTAATAATAATAATCATAATGAGGATGATAATGGGAATAATTATAATAATAATGAGGATGATAGTGATGATAATACGGTTAAAAATAAGATGATTCTTGTCATTCTGAAGGAGATAAAGGTTTATTAGAGCTACTAAAATGACCTCTATCATTCATACAGAATAATGAATAATGCATAATTATTAACTATTGGTTCAACCAATGGATATTCTGTTCTTCAATATTAGCTACATATATTTGAATCTTTTCAAATATCAAAGTTACTCACCCAATGTAACAGCCATAAATACCTAACTCAGATATACATTTAGATTTCACCAATGGAGTACCAGCTTTAATAAGATAATTAGTTTGAGTCTGGGGTCGGATCTTCTCCATCAAAATATATCCTGCTCTCTCAGCAGAATTCTCATGTTGTTTTAAAAACTCTACCAGTTCATCATCATACATATTGTGACCTGAAACCATGGCTAAACTTATACAAAAGGCATTTCAAGAAATGAGGCTGGCCCAGATTTAGCCCTTTCAGTTTGAAATTTTTTATCATTGATTTTTTAAATGCCTGGTGCTTTTTGCACACTTTGATAATCTAATGGCCCCTACTCAGTTCCTCAACCTAATGATTCATCAAAATGTAACTGAATTTGACTGGGAACGTGTTGGAGAGTTCAATCCTTGTCAAAATCATTATAACTAGTACAAAGTCCACTAGGTCCAATTGGTTGATGTTATAGTAGTTATAATACTGAGCAATCAAATCTCAGAAGTTGCAAATTTTCTTACAAGATGCCATGATTTAGAATCTTCAATATAAAATGTACATGATAATCATAGCTATATAATGATTTAAATCATAGAATCTGAGGTTAATTGCCTTTTTAGCATATGCAAATATTATCAGCTGTTATAATGTCAAATAGAGAGCTTTACCTCCGCCTTCTCTTTGTGGTTTTAAAACATAGTTATTGGGAGATTTCACAGCCATTTTCAGGTTTTTATCCCCTTCTTTACCCTAAAATAAAGACAGTTAAACATCAAATTATAAAATCAGTGTTCTATTCAGACTACATTATACTACGACCAAGGGCAATACTGGATATATTCTTTTAATAATCAAGTAAATCATCGATTTTGCTTCCAAAATTAAAAGCGGGAACCTTGAAAGTAATAAAGTAAAAGTAAAAATTCATGATAGTATTTTGGGCTTCAATGCAACCCTAATCACCCTCCCAAAATTCTGAGTATATATTCTGTGTATACACTTGCTATCCATGATCTGAGCAAAATCTTCTTCATATCAAGTTCAGATAAAACTTGTCCCAATAACATCACAATAATGATTTATGCTACAATGTTAAAAGTGGACTGGCAAAGCATGTTAATTTGCAATACTAAGTCACTTAAATGAAATCAATTGTTAAGAAATGATCACTCACTATATCAAGACTATATTGTCCAGCAAATGTTGATTTAATCATATCAAAAACTACAGGATCTTTAATAAATCTATCTAGTACGCCTGGTTCAGCTAAAATTTGTTGGATTTTCTTGGCTCCTACTAGTTGATAATTTATTGGTGGACATTTTATACAACTTCCTTGTTCCAGTTCCAATCTTACTTGCCATATCTACAATTTGGAAATAACACAATAGCCAAATCATCACTTTCATCCTTTTCAGAAAGTTATTTACATTTTTACATGAAGATATTACTAGTATAAAGTCATAACTTATTGATGGCCTGAGAGTGAGGACAGTCTAGTCATTAATGGTATGTTTTTTTCGCAACTGCAGGAGAATCATGCGTCTGATTTTAATTCTTGATACAGATAGCAGAATTTGAACTATGTCAATTACTTTACGGTGCGGGCCTGCGAAGTGTCTTGGTCGGCGATTTTTGTCACTTATTGGAGTCTTGTCATGATTTTCGCTGACCAAAAATCTCTAGTCGGTCGTTTTGATAATCAAACGTGGATCATGCAGAGACTTTACCTTCTCATTATAACTGGTAGGACTATATCCTGCTCTGTAATACACAACACCCACTTCATCTTCACTTCTACAAATATAAAATATCCATTTCCATTTGATCATTAATAGTGACTGGTCTTTTCAGTACTGTCAATTTTACTGTATTTACCAGTAACACCTTTTTTAACTTTTAACTTTTTAACATTGGCTTTTAACTACGGAAACTCTAAAGTCTTCTGGGACCATAAGATGCCTTCATATTAGATATTCCTCCTCTCATTGACTTCATTCTTTTTTTGACAAATGACTACTAGATCCATTGACAAGTCAGTACTAAATAGATTGTGGGGAAAATTTACAAACTCAACTCTGTACCTACATGATGTATTTTCTATCTTCATTCAGTTTTCCATATTTTAATAAATCATTAAAGGTTTTTCTGATGACTTTGATCTGTTTATTCTGTTTGTAGATCTCATAGTCCAAAAACCTCTGATCCATGATGTTCATCTCGTTGACACCCACCACAAATAATACAACGGCACTATAAATATTTTTTGCAATCTATAAATCACAAAATGATATCGAAAGCTAGAAACAGATGTTACATTTTCCAGAACCAGCTATCAACATATTGTGTTTGCATGAAACGTATATACAGTATACCCTGTGTAAGCCGACATACACTGGAACAGTAATACAATGTCGGATTTATCAGTAGAATTAAATTCGATAGATCATTCTATCGTTCACAGCCTGTAGCACTTGGGGTCTCGGTATATATTCCTATACGAACAACTACATGTTTTTCCATGTCAGTCCCTCTTAGCTGCATCACTGACAGGGGAAATACAATGATAGAATCTGAAAGTTATTGATACAACTTAAAACATAAGCCCATCCCCGCCCTCATAAGTATGAAGTATTTGACTTACTGTTTATTATCATAAAGTTCCCAGGCTCTAACTAAACCACCTGCTAGACCTTCTATTGGTCTGTTATCTGGTACCTAGACAATATATTGAATAACATTAAAGTGATGGTTGGAATTAAGAGCCAACGCATGTCAACTCTTAACAGCAATAAATAGTCTTAATCTTGATGGTTATCCAAAGTTGAGTGATACAGATGTAACTAAGCCAAAATGGGAGCAGTTTAAAAAAGCAGGGACAATATTTATGATTTGCCACCAAGATTGATATCTTTGAACAAAGAAAGCTTTCTATCTGTGATAAACTAAGAATAAATTTACCTGTTTATCTGTATAATTCTGGCCAACTAAATCTAACACGTACCTACAGTCAAGTAGAAGAATATTAAATATCAAAAATATAGTCAATATAGTTATTTAATTCTAACATGGATATCTCACTATCCGTACCATCAAACAAGGAGTGGGCCAGTTTCCCCATAACCACTATCATTTTGTCAGAATACATTAGATACTATTACCTGTGTAATGGTATTAGTTCTGCTGTTAATCCACCAAAACTAGAAGCTATTGAGTTAAATTCAATCTGCTTTATTTCAAATTTACGGCCATCATTGCTTTCTTTGACCTTATCCAACATAAAATCATTCCGAAATAAACCAAGACACAATTTCTAAAAGAAATACAAGTCATAAGAATGAATGAAAATCAAAATTTCTAAACAGCTTAAAAATCACCTGCTAGGAGATACTAAAACCTATAGGACCCCCCAAAAATGGGATTAAATCAGTAATTATGAACATAATGAATATACAAAATATGATGATTACCTGTGCTTTCTCATCATCATGTACTTTCATATAAATATTCCACAGATTCCGGGTAAAATCATCAGTTTGTATCACACTAGAGAGAGAGACATGTGTATATATATAATACTTAGAAATTCTCAATAGTTTAATACATTAGTTTCTTAATAACAACTTTTAAAATACTAATAATATACTCTTTAATGACAGCTTTATAAACTATCATATACTCTATTTTCTGAATATACAATGATATAAATTAATTTAAGTTCTAAAGTTTTTAATATGATATAAAATATCAAAATGAAAAGTAGCCTACCTTTTAAATGATTCTACGAGAAACTGATGATCCATTGCCACTCTATGCATCAATCTATTAAAATATGCCATAGACTGTGTAGCTTGTTGAATGATATATTGTGGTACTGGTGTTGGAAAGAGAGTAAATGGAGCATGGACAAGTTTATCTTGATCAGAATCATCCACACTTGGTCTCATTCCGATACCTTCAATAGAAATATGTTCAAACAAAATATCCAGACAATACCTTTGGATTTTTTACCTGGTTTTCCCTGTCAGTGATGCAGGTCGGAGGTGCTGACATGGAAAAAGTGTCTAGATGTGCAGAATAGCATATACATCTAACACGTAAAGACTTAAACTTACAATATAATACAATAAAATACACATATCTATATAGCGCCCTATCTTAAATACCCTAAATCGCTTTACATAGAATAAAATCATTGAAGACATCTAAAAATGTAAAAATGATAAAAATCTAGAAGATCAAACGATTAAAAACTATTTAAAAAGACGGGCAAATGGATAAAAAAGAAATACAAAGCATTAATTAAATCAATTATCACAGGTTAAACACCGTAAGATAGTTTAAAAAGATATGTCTGTAATTGTGATTTTAAGCATAAAGGAATGCCCAGGGTAGGCCTACATTCATGTTATCAGCTCTTTTTCAGTATAACCTTAAAAAGAAGACTCACCATGTGCTAATGCCCAATCTATAGCATTAATCTTGAGTTCTTCTAACTCAGCATCTGATATCTTTCTTTCTAAACAGGATTCCATTTTATTTCTGAAATAAAATATCATTCAAAATGAAAAATAGTCATAGAAGTGTAACTGAGGCAAGAGCATGCATAAACCAACATTCTGTTCATTTCATCAATGCAGACCATTTCTATGAGTAAGGTCTTCGGCACATGTCAGTACGTCTTAGTCTATCAGTACTATTCAGAAACTGATCTTCAAATTCTCCAAAAAAGTTATCATTAAATAGGCTACTGACAAAAGTGCAAAAACTAATAAATAAAATATAAATCTCAGCAGGGTTGAGTAGTCATAAACTGCTTGAAACCAGAAAGTGTCAAATGGAGAAAAAGTAAAAAATTCCATACATTGTCCAATAGCTGTCTTAATCCAGTGTAACTTTACACTCACAATGACAGGGCAGTATTTTAATAGACTATTATAAACTACACTACACAAGAACTATACACGAACAATTGCATAAATAGGACAGGAATAAAATAGGTCACGAGATAATCATCAGTTTCAATTTACACAGCCGATTCTTTAGATGTCACAATATGGCAACTACTGAAATAAATGGAAATCAATAAACAATTTGCATCAAATTAAACCATAAAATAAATAGAAATCCGTTCACATTTCACATGGCATTTTGAACTCTTTAATGTTGTGAAAACAGTAAAAGTGCTAATATCACGTGACAAGTTGGTATGACTAATCACCGTAATGAGAATTAATATACAAAATGTATACAACACGCAAATATTTAATAGTATTTTGATTTAATTTGATTTTTCAAATTGATCAAATTGATGTGAGCATGCTCCGCACTATAACCTCAACAGAAAGCTTATCCCAGGGAAGATTGTCTTGTACAACGGGGTGTCTAAAAAAGTTTTTATTATTATTATTATTATAGGCCTTCTTATTTATACATAGTGGACACAAATGCAATAGAGCAGGTTCCAGAAGATATGAAATGAATAAAGATAAGGCAATTGGTACCATCATCTGATATTCAGAAGGGGCCAGTACTACTAGCGATCCAAGCACAGAAGGGACCAACAGTAGTAGCGAACCAAGAACAGAAGGGGCAAGTACTACTAACGAACCAAGAACAGAAGGGACCAGTTCTACTAGCGAACCAAGAACAGAAGGGGCCAGTGCTACTAACGAACCAAGAACAGAAGAGACTAGTGCTACTAAATAACCAAGAACAGAAGGGGCCAGTGCTATTAACGAACCAGGAACAGAAGGGGCCAGTACTACTAGCGAACCAAGAACAGAAGGGGCCAGTACTACTAGCGAACCAAGAACAGAAGGGGCCAGTACTACTAGCGAACCAAGAACAAAAGGGACCAGTGCTACTAACGAATCAAGAACAGAAAGGACCAGAGCTACTTGCAAACCAAGAACAGTCGAAGGGATCAGTTCTACTAACGAATCAAGAACAGGAGGGACAAGTACTACTAACGAACTAAGAACAGAAGGGACCAGTGCTACTAACGAACCAAGAACAGAAGGGACCAGTACTACTAACGAACTAAGAACAGAAGGGACCAGTGCTACTAACGAGCCAGGAACAGAAGGGACCAGTGCTACTAAAGAACCAAGAACAGAAGGGACCAGTGCTACTAGCAAACCAAGAACAGAAGGAACCAGTACTACTAACGAACCAAGAACAGAAGGGACCAGTGCTACTAGCGAACCAAGAACAGAAAGGACCAGAGTTACTAACGAACCAAGAACAGAAGGAACCAGTACTACTAGCGAAGCAAGAACTGAAGGGACCAGTGCTACTAACGAACCAAGAACAGAAGGACCAGTGCTACTTGCGAACCAAGAACAGAAGGGACCAGTGCTACTAACGAACCAAGAACAGAAGGGGCCAGCGCTGCCAGTGAACCAAGAACAGCAAGAACAGAAAGGACCAGAGCTACTTGCGAACCAAGAACAGAAGGGACCAATGCTACTAACGAACCAACAACAGAAGGGGGAAAGTGCTATTGGGGATAGTCCACCACCATCTTGTAAGTAGTAACAACAATTTATCATATATACATATAGTGTATCCCTGACGCCCAGAATATACCTGTCTACGACAAGGATACAGTCTTGGAGTTTTCATTGAATCTACAAGTCTCAAACCGAAACAACCGAAACAAATTGGCAAACCCCACAAGTTTGTCGGTTTATATTTAATATTTTTATCCGCAGATGTTATATTTATCGATTTTTTCGAGCAAAGAATTAAAATTCGAGGACATTGTCATAGTAACTGAATTTTTTTTCACCAAAACGGATGTGGTTTTACAACCCATCAGATTCAATAACCACTGTAGATTCGGTTAATTACAAAGATCGTAAGCATCCAGTCGTCTTTCGTCGAAACTGCATGAAGACAAAGAGGGACTAGATGATAGAAGCTTCATATATCGGTATCTTGTACAGGGAGCTTAAATCGGAACTCCATTTGCAACTATTATGTATCCTACTGTAGATGCTATAAACCTACAGAGAATGATATCTTTCATAGTTTTATTTTCATTTTAGTATTTCGAAGAGCTTTATCTTGGTTGAGAGAAAAGATGAAACGCCGCACTTAGTTTACACTTAAGGACTCCAACAAAATGATTATCAAATGTAAATGGATTGTGAGATGTACTACTTTGGCAACGAAATATTTTACTTTATTGATGTGAATGGTTTTTCGATTTTACCAACTGAACAAAATGGTATTTGAAAACTGGACTATTATTCAAAAAAATAGGAAAGAAAAAAAAAAAACTAGATACCGGCCTTACACCAGATTATCATTTAGTCCTTTTGAACTTGGGGCCATGAGCTTGTTAGTTATTTTTTTATTGTTTATCTCTGAAATGAATTTAAGTTTTATATCCTATCTATTAAATATTTTGTAATGTATTTGTGCTGTTATTTTTGTAATATTTTCCGTGTTAAAATAGATCTGAAACCTGTTACATATCTGGTCTCTTACCTTAATTAACTGGAGACGGTCTAAGTTAGTCTGTAGCTGGCTGATTCTATCTATCTGGTCATTTATTATGCCTGGATGTAGTCTAAGCTAGTATGTATATATCTGGTATCGGACAGTTATTATGACTAGATGTAGTCTAGGTTAGTCTGTAGGTAGTTGACTCTATATATCTGGTCTCTGTTATTATGACTGGAGGTAGTCTAGGTAAGTCTGTAGGAAGCTGACTCTATATATCTGGTCTCTGTCAGTTATTATGACTGGATGAAGTCTAGGCTAGTCTGTATATATCTGGTATCAGACAGTTATTATGACTAGATGTAGTCTAGATTAGTCTGTAGGTAGTTGACTCTATGAATCTGGTATCGGACAGTTATTATGACTGGATGTGGTCTAGGTTAGCCTGTAGCTGACTGACTATATATCTGGTTATCTGGACAGTTATTATGACTAGATGTAGTCTAGATTAGTCTGTAGGTAGTTGACTCTATGAATCTGGTATCGGACAGTTATTTTGACTGGAGGTAGTCTAGGTTAGTCTGTAGGTAGCTGACTCTATATATCTGGATTCAGGCAGTTATTATGACTGGATGTGGTCTAGGTTAGCTTGTACGTAGCTGACTCTATATATCTGGTATCGGACAGTTATTATGACTGGATGTGGTCTAGGTTAGTCTGTACGTAGCTGACTCTATATATCTGGTGTCGGACAGTTATTATGACTGGATGTGGTCTAGGTTAGTCTGTACGTAGCTGACTCTATATATCTGGTATCGGACAGTTTATTATGACTGAATGTGGTCTAGGTTAGCCTGTACGTAGCTGACTCTATATATCTGGTATCGGACAGTTATTATGACTGGATGTGGTCTAGGTTAGTCTGTACGTAGCTGACTCTATATATCTGGTCTCAGACAGTTATTATGACTGGAGGTAGTCTAGGTTAGTCTGTAGGTAGCTGACTCTATATATCTGGTATCGGACAGTTATTATGACTGGATGTGGTCTAGGTTAGTCTGTACATAGTTGACTCTATATATCTGGTCTCAGTCAGTCAGTTATTATGACTGGAGATGGTCTAGGTTAGTCTATAGCTGTCTGTCTCTATGTATCTGGTCTCGGTCAGTTATTATAACAGAGCTAGGAATATTTGGCTTTTTTATTGGATGAAAAGAACTTTTCTTGTATTTTGGTCTATATTCTATTTGGTCTATTGAAGCGTAGGGAAATTCAAACAGATTGAAAAGATTGAATTGCGTTCTGAAATGTTTTTTTCAATGAGAACGGAGTAAACTATAAGCTGTTACGTTCTTGGGTTTTAAGCCACCAAAACGTACATTCTCAAGCTCAGTTTTGTAATTTCGGACATTTGTAATTATTTTATCATTATAATGTTTTTACAAATTTGAAAACATAACACCAAAGATACCATAGAAATTCGTTTCCAGCTTGGCCTTAATAATGTATTCATGTGACGGTTTAATTTATAACTTAATTTTTTTTTAAATTTCCAGAAACAAAGGAAACGAGGTGTTGAATACTGAAACTGGGTATATTGTAATAAGTAAATTGGCTGATGTCGTGGAAGGGGGAGCTATCGCCGGTTTTAGTGGATTAGATTATTTTTTTATTCTTGATATATGACAATAAAGTATTCTACATTCACCATAAAAATACATCTCTATTGAGGTTTTCTGAGTGTTTTTAGCAACAACTTATAATATATTTTGATTGTTAACCAAGTTTCAAGAGCTGAAAATAAATGAATCAAGAGTGGATCTCTTCCTTGGTAAGAACCTGCCACTGCACTTCACTCTGGTCTTTTATTCGTATTTTAAAAGACAGTGCACAATTTCACCACTTTTGGAAATTTCATTGTCATTTTCGAATTCATTTTGTCCTTGTTGCTTCTTCATATGAAGGTGGCAATATTCCTGAAAAAATAAAAACATCTATTTACATTGCCAGATTTCTACATCGCAGTGTTGAACGAAACAGAGGATGATTCTGGGGCACCATGAGCTACCTTTGCAGTAAAAGTATCACAGACCCAGTACCCAGCACCCAGTAGCCTAAGATACAACGATACAAGTTCAAGTGAATACGTGGAAACATAATTCTTTTGAAATCAACAGTGATTGCAGATGGAAAGGTAAATTGATAAATACCATTATGATTGTGTTGATAATTTCCCGAATCGTTGTATAGGTGATCTTCAGGAGTCTCTTTAGCAGCATCGGTGTAGTTTCTACTGCCTTTGCCGTTTATTAAACAAGAATTAATCCTCATGTTGTGATCATTAATAAAGGAATTCAGTCGGAAGAGATCCACGAACCAACCAATTCCTAGAAGTCCAAGGGTACTGAAATATAACAGACCCCAGCCATGTCGACCCAAATAGAAATGGTGTAAACCAAAAATTCCAAACGGAAACCACAAAAGTGCAATGTCATCCAGGAATTTAGTATTGGGATGTATTTGTTTCGTTTTTATTAATCTGGCTCTTTCCACTAAGAAATAACAACGGAACCAATCTACGATCCAACCCCAACCAAACAAGCCCGTTGTAAATGTGTACAGAATGCCCCACCATGGCTGGTTCAAGTAGTAATAATGAGCCCCAAAAAGTCCCACTGGTGATAGAGCAAAACAATATGCCACTGGAGTGTGTTTCGTGCGTTCAGTCTCTCCAAAGGGTTTTTCGTTCTCCTCTCTTACCATGGACGGCATCCGGAATCCATCCATAATCCAACCGAATCCGAACATTCCGAAAGTGAAAAAATACAGCACTCCTAGGAATGGCCGTCTGAGATAGAAGAGATGGAACCCTGAAAGAAAAGAAGAACATTTTCAAATCTTCACATTCTGTATTTGAGATGGGTGTCTTTTCGTTATACAGAATCAGTAGGTTGACATGGATGATATAGTCAATTCAGAGCATGAATGAATGGAGCTTTACGTCCTAATTTTCTGCGCCTAGGCTAGGGCTAGGCTAATGAAGAGAACCAGAACTCAGATAAGCTTGTAATAATACGTACCAAATATACCACAAGGAAACCATAATATATAGGCATCACGGAGATGCTTGTGGTTTTCCAGACTAGGATTGCTGATTCTATCATTGGCTTCTTTCACCAACCACGGCACTCGCAAGATATCCAAAAACCATCCAACACCAAGGAGTCCGAAGGAAACGAAATAAGCGAATAAAAACCAAGGTCTTCCTAGATAGAAATGATGGGCTCCCGTTACTCCCAGAACGATTGTTAGTATATACGTATCGACAATAGATTTATAACCTTCTTTATGGTTGATTTTAATTTCCTGGCCCGACTCCATTATATAAGAACATATGCACTAAAAATCAACTCGCCAATGATGTTCTATGTGTATGTGATAGTATCAATTCTTCACAACGCATGTCACGTTATTGTGATAATCCATAAGCAACTGGCTGAGCTATGATCCACGGCTAAGACGTATTTAAGTGTTTGATTGAAATATCTCAAAACTGAAGAACAATCGACCAACACAGTTTTTTCAATCCGTACAGAGCTCCTTATACCGGTAACTTATTAACTCAGATATTCACAACCCAATATTCACAGGACACAGGAATGAAAATGAACTTTTCACATGCTTTTATCAGTTGTCCTTGGTTAAGTTGTTGTTTGTCTCTACACGAAGATGATATTCGACATTTTGATCCTCGAATACCAACAGAAAAACTCAAAAACAACTACACAGATTTTCACAATCCGAATCACATACTATAGACGACATTAATTTTTAATCTTTTTTGATTTCCAACAATAGAGGTATCCTAGAAATTGCCCAAGAAATGTCAAAATAACCGGACTATATAAATAGAAAAATCTAATCAGTCCACCAGTAATAACTAGTCATCCCTGATTTTATCAATATTTAGATAATTCATTTATCACTATTATTATTGCATTTTCATCGTACGTGACGCGGTTTAGATCAGATGACGTTACGGCTATTGACCCGCCGGGAGATAATGTTCAGGGTCGTGGAATAAAACGTCAAAGTTTGGGTGGGGCAGGTTTTAGATGTTAGAGGTGACACCTTAAGATAACTCTTAATACCTGGTTCCCAACCTGAGGTGTTTTCACCGCATAGGAGTGTGGAAATAAGGGGTGTGTCTGGGGTATGGCAGTTGTAGGAGAATAATTTATTGTTGGGCATCTTTATGGTTTCTGGACTTTCTGCATAAGCATAACGCAAACTTACTCCGGAAGCTAGCCCGAAAAATCTGGCCTTACCCAGACAGAGACTAGGTGTTAATCTGAAAATGGTAGGTCAACTCAGTGGGCATCCCTTTGAAGACCTAGTTAATATGCTTTATTTTGGTATATTTTATTTATTATTCAGGCAAACTGTACATTAGTAGACTAATTGAAGTACAACCAAACAAACGAAGGAGAAACCAACTATGTTCGCTGTAGGCTAGTAGTTCTCTCCCTTTATCCTCTTCTTTTCAAACGATGGCGTATACATTAAAAAATAGTCTATGAGCACATCAGACGATCAACTTAGAAATTCCTTCAATTCCTGCTTAGGTTTGCCAAGAAGCCTGACTGTCATGGATGTTGTGCACAGTTGGCGCCATTATTTTATGCAGACTGATTGCAATTTTCCCATTGGCTATAAATCACATTATATGTCACGTGATATCAATATTGACATGATCTAAAAATAGATATCACGTGATACAGCCTGATTCCTGAAAGCTAGTGGCTGTCAATGAAACTAGCGAGTATAAAACTGTTATTAGTCAGTGTTAGCGTGTGAAATCTCGCATGTTGTTTTGACTTGGACTGTCATTGTGTATGGCCTACTTAGTGGAAAGACTATTATCATTCCATATAATAGGATCAGATGTGTGAAAAAAAAATCCAGGGAATTGGATTAGTCGATTTTTTTTCTAAGTCTTTTAGAGTAGATTCCTGTACTAACTGACTTTATATGGCCTAGTAGTTAGCTTGTTCTTCCGAGTTAGAATGGACTGACAATTAATATTGAAATCAATGACTAGAACAACACTATGCTTATAAATAGATTTTCAAGTGGACTTGAAACCGTGTTAATTTGAAGTGCGATGCATTAAGTTTCTGGGTTAAAAACCGCCACAATTTACTAGTTTGTCTTCCGGGTTGTTGTCAATATGAATTTATTTTGAATCGCTGACATGAATTTGGTACTTATGTGAATTGTGAACTTATATGAAATTCGAGTTTTGTACTTGCATAGACTTAAAACAAAGTTCTGTACGTTTCTTGGAGTTTGAAGTCGATGACAATACACAAAGCATGCGTTCGCTCATCAATACAGGAAGTCTTCAGAAGTTAACTCAGACAAATGGGAACCTAAGCACTGCTTTGAAATAGAAATGCACGAAACCCACTAAGAACTTTGAAGACTAAAAGTAAAGTGAATCAAGTATATAAAAGTTGATACATCGCAAATACTTTCTGTTCCACAAAAGTGTTGATCGCATCTTACAAAGAAATTTGTTATCATAGCTAATTAAGACATGATGCGGAGTTAGTAATTAAAAACGACTTTGAAGATGTTCAGATATAAGGTTGTCTGTAAAGGTGGAATATAGAATTCCCTTTCGACTCATTACATTTTTTCTTAGCGAAATCGGATTGGAACCAGACTAAACTGTTTTTCCACCAAATGAAATGTGACAATAAAACGGTCGTATTCTAACTATAAGGATATAAGACTAGTTCACCATTCATTAAGTATGGGTACAGGACATTCGGCTAGGAGAGATTCGTTCGATGCCAACGGTGAAGGTAAGTCTTTTTCACTTATTTTTTTCTTTCTGTGTTGCATATGCTCTGAGGAGAATAGATAAATGTACAATGTACATAATTTTCAATAATAACCAATCTCATTATATATTGATTATTAAGCAATGAACCTAATGAGAATATTATGAGCTAGTAATTCATTTTTGATCATTTTTCTATGCAGCATTAATTTTTAAAATCCAAATTGCCAAATTCAGTATAAGAATCGCGCCTTAATTCTCTGAAGGAAGCGCCGACATGATGTAAGCTTCGATTGTATAGAGCTAATTTTCTATGATATTTCTGAAAAGGTCCGCTGAATTGAATGGGCGTAATTGAAATATTAAGCCAGATATTTCTGAGATTGATGCTTTTCAGACCACTTTTTTACTTTAACGCACACAAATCAGATCTACAATGGTGCTTAATTCTGATGGGTGACACAGTAAGTCTCAGAATTCCTAAAGTCCTGATGCTTTGGGAATTATATTGATGTACATGTATGTAATTCTGAGTAAGCAAATGCCAATACCACAGGCGACCATTCCTTAGTGAATTGATTTGATTTGGCTGACCAGTTATTGTAACTGTTTGTAATTAGTGTGATTTCATGCAAAATAGTTTTACAGATGGTATTCACCATTAAAAGAATTTCTATTTTTATTGAGCTTCGATTTTATTGAAAAAGTCTGTCTGACCAGGAATCTAATGATGGACGCCCCGCTTGGAGGATACCGAGCTTTGTTTTTATTTTTTAATAATTTTTATTGATTTTATCGAAAAAAGATATTGCTGAAAGCAGATAGATAATAACATATTCATCAGAATCAATAGTCCAAGTAGAACTTAAAAATATATCTTTACATTGCCTTCGGTGCTTTCTGTCATAATTCATGGCGGACTATATCAGTCAATGGAAATCAAATATTGAATGCAATAGATACCTTTCTATCATGTATCTTAAAGCAGGTAATTAGTGTACCACATAGTAGTTCTACTGATGAATTTTGCATTCGATTCGTTATAGTTTTTGATTGAATCTATTCTTTTGATTCTCTTTGATATCATCGATCAATATCAAAGCACTGCACCGTGTATTTGTTTTTTATAGTTGTAAAACAGCCTTGTACACAAAATTGTTGTTTTTGTGTTTCTTACTTTAGTGAGGTTCATTCTTTCGATTTCATTATTATTAATGTCATTATTTTGGCCATTTTATGTACATGTATGGATCATCTTAAAAACGATCTGATTTGGAACCGTCCGGATACCTGACGTTAATCGAAAAACGATATTACTGAAAGCGGATGAAGATAATAACATATTCACCACAATCGATAGTCCTATAATAGTTGGACTTGAAAATATATCTTATTTTGAATTGGCAAATTTGAGAAAACAGAAACTTTTAGAGCTATGAACTTCTTGAAAACTAATCGTCTTGTTTACCCCAGAGCACCACTCTGACAGAGTTTAGGAGGGTCAACATAATTGTGCTAAATCTGAACTTTAATATGCAATTGTTAGACTGTAGTAAAGTCAACATGATTGAAATTTCAGAACCTATGCTATTGTCTTGCATGTACCCTTTGATCAGGATTTCCCTATTAGACTTTCAGAGAGTCCACATAAATGTGCTTAATCTAAAACTTATTAACTCTTGTAACCAATATAAATGAAATTCAATCACTGTTTACATCAATATAACTTTATTTAACTATATCAATCATCGCTTCAAAGCTCTGTATATTTACATAAACCGCAGATTTTCAATTTTTTCTACAAACACAATTACTTTCAGCATTAGTATATCAGATTAGCTTTATAAATACACAGTAGACTTAGAATAGCTTGACATAGAGATGTGCGTGGGTAATCTCAGTTCTTCACGTGGTATTTTGGCTTTTCAATAAAATTTAAACCGAGTATTACTTGTAGAATTTTAGAAACAAGATATTACAGAATGTAACATAATTCACTAGATACATTTTGAGGGTTTTTTACTTGAAGGATCTTGTCTTACAGTTCTTACTGATGATAACTAAACCAAACGGCTTGGCTTTCATATTTACCGAGTGGGCCGTACCCATTTACGACTTTTGCATTTAAATTGTCCACAAATATGTCGAGCAGATTTTGTAAAAAGCACATGTACTTTGAAAACAGAATCGATCCACCACTTTATTACTTCTATGGTGGCGCTCGATTGGAGAATTCTACACGTTCGGAATTCTTGAAATCAACCGGACGTTCAACAAAACAAGTTGGAACAGAGTTCTGAACGGCGCAGACAAAATTCAAAATGGCGGAGAAGGAAAGATGTGAAGATTTTGAGTGGGTCCTATTCCACTTCCGTATCTTTCGATTGAGGGTAGAATTGGAACAGACAACCTGTTCAGAACTCCCCAATCGAGCACCACCTTTATATGATAATAAATGCGGAAAGTTTTACATGTATTTTTAAAAAGGTTGGATCATTTATCCAAAACATGTGGCAAGCTAATTCTCAGGGAA